TTAAGAGAGAACACTTGTTGATGTAGTAAAATTGAGGAGTACAGGGAACGACGACAGGAAAAGTATGATAACCTTCTAATAGAAGTTTTCGTCGTTTAAATTGTAATTTAATATATCGATGCAAGATATATACGATAAGATATATTCGGTAAGATATATACGATAGATGTATGATAAATCAGGTTTTGTAATGACAAACATTATATGTATTGAAAAATGCTTTTTTTTATAATAGTGTTAATAGTTTAATTAACGTTTATTTTACTACATATACATGTTGGAATATAATAATCACTAGGATGCGAATATTTAAATTTTTATGAACATCGTTGAAGTAGAACCTAAGAAATAGAACTTAAAAAAACAAATTTGTTCCTTCCTATATATTATAATATACTTTACTTTGAATATTTCATATAGATATTTTATATGTATATATTATATAATATATATTATATAGATTATATATATTATATATGTATATTAAATATTATATATATTATATATGTATATTAAATATATATTCTACAATCTGTATACATTTTTGCAACTCCAAATTTTCATAGAGTTCGCATCCTAGTAATCACTATATAATTTTATCGTCCTAATGGTAATGGTGTTTCATTATATATATAATGAAACATCGTAATATATACATCATTCTATTGATTATTATAATCATCGATAAATATCATATCGATGTAAGATAATGAATATAATCGGTTACAAGAACGTTGAAGAGTTTCTGCTACAGTATAGTATGCCGTTTTTATATCTCTATGATATTGAGTATAATTTTCCATGCTGAGTATAGTTCTCTATTGAGTTTTGCTATACATATGGAGAATATACTACAGTATCAATGTAGCATGAATGAAGAAGTTTAGCAGAACGATGTTAAATTATTTTATAGTATATAGCATATATACTATATTTATACTATACATATAATTATTTATGTACATATTATTATATATTATATTATATATTATATTATTATATACATATAATTATACTATACATATAATTATTTTACAGTATATAGCATATATACTATATTTATACTATACATATAATTATTTATGTACATATTATTATATATTATATTATTATATATTATATTATATATTATATTATTATATATTATATTATATATTATATTATTATATACATATAATTATACTATACATATAATTAATTTTATACTATATACCATATATACCTACGTACTATACATCATACTATGTATCGCTGTAATATAATGCTATAGCAACGCGATGTTATTCATTATGGTATAATAAATAACTATAATGAACAGTAAGACTACAATGACTAGTAATGTAGAAGACAGTATGTGATTGTACTTTAATTTAAAATATTGCAACATTTACAACATCGATTTATAAATTTTATTTCTATTGTCAAATAATTACTCATGGGGGAAATCGTAGTTTCTTTGAACTAATTTTCCTATGATTTTCCTATTTCTATTTTAATTTCTACTTTAATTTCTGTACACGAAGTGAAACGCAAGACTGTATTCTGTATCTTGTAATACAAGAGAAGTGAAAGAAAACTTTTTGAAAACTTTTCAGCATTCGTACTGTACGCGTAAAAAATATTGAAAAAAAATTATTTCAAAAAATTATATATTCCAAGACCAAGAAAGATATAAATAGTTTAATACTTCCTGTAATAAATACGGAAATAAAAATTTCTGACTATCATCTACCCCGCGTGTATATAATGTCACCTCTAGAAGTATCAAACTGTATATTAAATACTGCTGTTATTAGTACTCCAATTTTCAGCAACATACGTAAATGTCAGAATTTTTTGTCAGAAAGTCCTTCCAAAGTACAAAATAAATACGTGCGTATTTGTCAATTTTAATCCCGAAAGATTTTCATTCAATTTGCTCCAACAGTCCCCATAAAAGATAAGCTTTACAATACTGCATGCGTACCTACATATTTTCATTTCAAATTTCAATGTACCTAGAATATCATTTGCTGAGCAAATAAACAATAACAAGAGCCACGATTTTAAAGCTAACGAACTTCAAATAAAAGAATTGTGACGTTAAAATTGTCGAATGTTAATTTTCACAGAGTCGACAACAAACAAACGCAGCCCGAAACGATATTTTTATCCCCAATTTCACTTTCGCCGAATCTGGCTGCACATGACACAAGTAGATATCTTTGCGCCAGGAAGGGAAAAATTACGCATCCTCGCTGTTTCGTGACAACAACTTAAACTTACGTGTCACCAAACATGCGAGTGTCAATCGAAAGGAAGTTAAAATAATGCGACAAACGGTTACTTACAGTTGATGTTGCCGGGTCAGCATGATTTCTTCCGAGAAATAAATGCAGATACGCGCATTTGTACGAAAAGACAGTACGAATGTACACGTTCGTGCACGATCATTCAAAATTAATCACTTATTTCAACGAGAGTCCGCGAGACAGCCAGTCCGTGAATTATATCGGCACCGCACTCGAATCGTGTATGAGCGCGCACTTCGTATGTGAGCACAGCGGATCTCGATAATCGTTCACGTTCGTAACACTACTCCGTTTGACATAATTTATCTGGTGACCCCACGGCTGGTTACCGTCGACCGACGCAAAGCAACGCAGGGAGCTGTTTAACTGAGCTGGTGGGGATACGCCACGAACGACGAGACATATAGACGTCTTCGTTGATTCGTTAGTTCCCAAATAAAACGAGCGTTGATTGGCCCGTTACTCTTCTCACCAGTTTACGCGGCTCACGATGACACACTGAAGTTTCCGTTTTGTAGACGTTCAATTTCAACTGCTCAGTTTTCGTATAAAAATCTAACATTTGATCGAAATTGAGTATAATTAAGAAAACCATCATGCTCCATTGCATTTCGTATAAATAACATCGATCTTTCAATTTAGTACATTTTCCCGCATGATGTAAATTATGATACATGTATTTCATTTTGTGCACAATACATTTAAAAAATCGAATCGTTATATATCGAAATAATCGAATAGTAATTAGGTTGTTTGTTGTTTTTATATATGTATGATGATTGTAAATTTTTCGTTCTCGCAATATTTTACGTTTAATAATGAAATTTAATTATAATACACTGAAGTTTTTATTTCTAGTACCTTCTAGTTATTACTCACTTCACAGCTGTCAATTTTAAATGAACGCATAGATGTACATATATATATATATAGAGAGAGAGAGAGAGAGATTTGTTACATATTTTTAATCTTCAGTGTCACTGTTATATAAATTGTGTTGACAAATGTTACGGCTTTGTAAATAAAACTTCTTTTTTCAGTTTTCTGTAAAATATAAGTTTTTTTAAAAGATGGAAAACGATAGCCCTGTAATATATGGCCTTGAATTTCAAGTATGCAACTAAATATGTAAAATTATAAACATTTACAATTTTCTGTCACAAGTTTGTACAAGCAGTCATTTAAAATAAAATATACGAAATATAAAGCTTACTGTTTATTCTTATAGAAGCTTATAAAAATCTGATATTAGAATACAATTATCATTTGCTACTAACCATTATTCCTATTAACATTTGTAATACTTTGTACTTCGTAGACAAGAGCATTATCAGCTCAAACAGCAGAAACGGATATTGTCAGGTTTTTAGTTGGGACGCAATCGTTGAAATTTAATAACAATCAAGTTCATTTGGTAGAACTCAATGAAGAAACAGGTGGCTTAAAGACTCAAATATTTCATCATCCTATTGGAGAAATTTGGTCTTTACAAGCTTCTCCTACAGAATCCAATATATTTATTACTTGTTATAACACTTTAAGTGGTAATTATAAACGAAATTATGTTTTTCTTTGGCATGTTGAAACAATAAATCTTAATTATATTAGAAACAATATATATTTAAATATACAATTTTATTTAGATGATGGTTCTTGTCAAATGAAAGGAGCCCTTTGGAAACTGCCAGAATTAAAAGAATATACAAATGATGTTGAAAGTCTTAAAAAATTAGCAGATATTGATACTACTCCACATGGTACAGACCTTAAAACTATTGCTTATCATCCTATGGATTCAACAAAGGCTGTTTCAGTTGTAGACAATAAATTTATATTGTGGGATCTAACTGATAATGGACCACAGGTAAAAACAGATTTCTGTGTTATTTGTAGATGTATATTTTTTATTTGTTATTTTATTTAGGCTACTACTTCGGGTACTTTAGCTAGTAAAGGTCAGCCACGTTTCACAAATGGAAAGTGGAATCCCCATAATGGTTGCAATCAATTCGTCACACTGAATGAAAATAATGTTCGTGGTTGGGATTTTCGAAATCCTGCCGAGGCATCTTGGACAATTTTATCTGCTCATTCTCAAATAATTAGGTGCCAAGTAAAATTTTGATGATTTTTATTCATCATAAATTTTTTATAATTATAAAAAATATAGAGTTCAATACAACATTAATCTTATACTTAGAGATTTAGATTTTAATGTGAATCGTCAATATATTCTATCTACATGTGGAGATGATGGATATATGAAATTTTGGGATATTCGGTCACCTACAGAACCTATATTATCTCGCATGGAACATTCACATTGGGTTTGGAGTATTCGAATTAATCGTTTCCATGATCAATTGGTTTTAACTTCAAGTAGTGACTCAAGAGTAATATTATGCAGTATTGCATCAATATCTTCAGAACCTTTTGGACATATAGTAACTCCTGAAGATGATTGTGCACAAAATGATTACAATTGCAAGAAAAACAAGTAACAATTGATAATTAAAATATTGTATAATTGAAATCAAAAAACTTAAATTGTATTATTTCTAGGCTTGAAGATGGAGTTGTTGGTAGGTATGAAGAACATGAAGATAGTGTTTATGCAGTTGAATGGTCATCTGCTGATCCTTGGACATTTGCATCACTAAGTTATGATGGTAGATTAGTTCTTAACAAAGTTCCCAGGAAATACAAGTATCAAATACTTCTTTAAATTAATGAATTTATATTGATTTGATATCAAATTATATAATAAATTAATGTATTTGTTTCAATTTTTTATTTTACAATCGTTCTGAAATTCGACTTGCTACATTCCTAAGTTGTCCATAAACTTTTGATGGGGGACTACCCAAAATTAAGTTACATATAGCCCTTCTTGCTAATTGTATGTTTTGAAAAGAACCAAGTATATGAATTTTACTATCTGCCAATACAATTCTAGTTTTTGTTACATTTTCTATCGTAAACTTTGTTCTTCCACCTTTTCCAGCTAATCTTCCAATTGCTCTAGAAAGATGATCACCTTTTAAAGGCTTTACATCTTGAATTTCAAATGTTTCTACAAACAAACCATCTAAACGTAATAAAGCTAAAGCATCTTCCACATCAAAACCATAAATAAATGCCTTAACAAAATCAGCTCCTTTTTGCAAATTAGCAATGTCCGGAGTTTCTGAAGCTGTCCGTAATTCTACATTTCGTGTTTTCAAATTAAATCTTATTTGCAATTGCAAATGTTCCACAATGGGGGTAAATATTTTCATCCAATTTTCTTTTAAAGGAGTGTACCTATGAGCAGGTACACATATCTGCAAATATAGTTTATTTTAATAATAATGTAATAATTATTTTTATTTTTGTTTAATATAATGCATTAATTAATAAAGTTCAAATATCAACAAAAATTTTCACCTTTCTTTGTTCATTGTGTTGTACAATTTTAGCTCTTTTTGAGGTTACATCTGATTTTATTTTTCCTTCTATACCATTAACCATTTCGACCTAAAAAAGAGTAAGTAATTAAAAGAAAAAGATACCAAATAAAAGATACTAAATATTAAATAAAATAATTTTATAATAAATTATATTTGTAAAAAATAACCTCGATACTTACTTCCATACGACTTTCATTCACATGTCGCCTTTTTTTTTCTTTTGGTTTAATAAATTCATTTGATTTTGAATTATTCATTGTATCTTCTTTAACTATATTCATTTTTTAAAAAATTTCTTGGCTACTAAGATATAAAATATAACTACTATTTAAGACACTACAATTAGCGACTACACGAGCACATATCCTTTGCTATGTGGTCAATTGATATATTTGTACTATATACCTATTTATGCTATATGTATTATTCTATATATACTATGCTGTACTATTTATGCTATATGTACATCATATATATGTAAATATAGTTATACATGATGTATGTCATTTTTATTTGTAATCACATACATATATGAATGCATGTACAAGATATTTCAATTATTTATAATCCTTCCTTTTTTCTTTTTTATACTTAAAAAACCTTTATATTATAAAAACTATTTTCATTTGTCAATATATGCTTGTCGCTTTTATATTTGATATATTATAATTTTAATTGTACAAAAAATATAATAATGAATTTTCTGTTTTTAAGAAATTAGGAATGTACTTAACATTATAATGTATGTAATTTTTATACATTGATACTTGAAAATTCATATTTATGACATGTATTGATTTCTAAAATTAATTGTACAAAGATGGAAAAAATAGGCAATATTGAAATGTTAAATTGTTTAGTATTTATTCGGTTAAAGTTATATGAAAAAAGTTTTTATTATTAAAAAAAAAAGAAATTTATTATAATAATTTGTTTAGAATCAATTTTAGAGAATTACAGTAATAGAAAAATAAGTTTAATTTTTAAGTTCTTTATTTTGATAAATATTATTTACTACTTCTATATTTTACTACTTATAGTTTTTTTTTGAAAATATCCCTAATAATTAGTCTCACTCAGAAATATATCATTGTATATAAGAGACATGATCTTGTGAAATTATTAAATATATTTACAAATTACATTATACATATCAACAAAATTTTGTTTTAAAATAAATATATTTATATAAATTTTGATGAACAAAATTGAAGTCATGAAACTCATAAACTGTTGCAGTTTAATTTGTAAGACAAATATTCACAGCTATTCACAAATATTTACATTAAATTCATAAATTTACAAATAAAAATTTTTTGTTACTTTTATATTCTAAAATTTTTCATAAAAAGTATTTCTGAAAAGATTTATATTAATCAAATATTTTAATGCGTAATTCACAAGATAAATATAACAATTATTATAAATCGAAAAATATTTAAACAAATCAAATTTTTTATATTTTTTATTCTTGCGGAAAATATCTGTAAATATTATTTTTTTATCACAAAATAATTACTATAAAATTAAAACTAGAAAAGTGGGTGTAATTACAGAATGTATTTCTGTATTATAAATAACCACAAAATTATTTTGATTTGACAAATATGTATGTGAGATATCAAAGTAATTCATGAAACTGGGTATGATACAAAATAAGCAATTGCATCTTTTTATAACACATTTTTCATTATCTTTTAAGTTTATAGTAATAATTAATAACAAGAAAAAAACCTTCATTAATGTGTCTACAGTAATTATTAAAAGGTACAATTAGCAAATTACTATATTGTGTATCCACTTTGTGTAATAATAAGTAATAATATAATTATAATATTTTTTTCCATAATCATAGCGCGATTTTCTTTCCACGTGCTCAATCGTTTTCTACAAATATAGTATTGTATCTAATTTTTTATTTATATATATATTTATATTTATATATTTATGTATCCAGTTGAATTATTATCAATCATTTACTTTTACTGCTATTTATATCAATTAAACAAATACTAAAAATACAAATGTTTTGCATACAGCAGGTTTTAAAGTCATCAAGTTTCATATTCGAGCTGGTGATTTTAAAACGCATATTCATATACATGATAGAATATTCGTGGCATTGCAAACAAAATTAAGGAGCTTGTAATGCATTCGTTATACATACATACAAATGAGCACACAAAAGTGAACATTTTAATTGGTATAATTATTATAGTCTGCATGAAAATGATGGTACATTATACGTGTTTATGAAGCACACTATAAACACCAATTATTTATTGAGCGTTACAAATACACCATCTTTTAAGTGTGTTGAATATCAACAATTGTTACATATTACAATCAACTTATGATCTTTGGTGTATCAGTATTATTTGTATTATAATACATACATACTATATATGTAATTATATGGCAGACAATCTTTAGAAGCTCCTTAATTATGTAAACATGCGAAAGATTTACTTATTTTTAAAATATTTATATTTACACGCAAAGCTTACTTTCTTTGTAATCTATACAATCATATAAATGTAATATTCAATGATAAAATTGTAACATAATAATTCCTAACTTATTTATCTAATTTTAAAGAGAATATTTTACATCGAAATTACAATTTATTTTTTTCTTGTTTGTTCTTAAATTGTACGATTAAATTACTACACTTTACATTGTGTGTGATTCCATTATAATGTAGGGCTGAATCAAATTAAACGCATTTGAAGGTTCATTTCTTTATATGTTTTATATACAGCATAAATTCCCACCATGTAAAATAAGCATGCTACTATTTACAATATATGATCCAAGATCTGTCGAAATAAATCTTGTGAAACAAGCAATATTCTAACTAAATAATTTATCTTAATATTAAAAATAGAAGAAATTTTAACATAATCATTATCCACAGTAGTGTAATTTCAGTCAATGAAGGTAAATTTGTTAAAATTTTTCCTATTTAAAATATTATTAAATTCAGTACTCAACATTCATATGACAGAAATAGTTTTTTAAATATATATTACCTGATAGCCATCAAAGCTGTAATAAAGAATATGAAGAAAATATTTTATTTACGATTCTTCATAAAACTTAAAAATAACAGAGAAAGAGAGAGAGAAAGAAATTTTGTTAGGGAAAAATAAAATCCTTGAATAAAATCCTTTAAAATCCTTGAATAATTTTAACTCAAACTCAGGATTTATTCATTTATGAAAGAATACAATTATATCAGTATCATATTTTAAAAGTATCATATATAATGGAAATGTTAAAGTAATCATAATATAATATTTTCTTCATTTCTTTATAAGTAATGGAACGTACGTAGAGTTACGGAACAAACGAATATACATTACTGTGACATTTTAAATGCAAATTTTTAATATAAAAAATGCTATGATGGCTATCACAGGCTCATTTAGAAATTCCAACTCTCAACTATATAATTTACATTTATACAATATAAAACTAGATTATCTGTTCACAAAAACAATTGTTCATATACAGTAGTTCATGTACATCATATATTATATATATGTTTTATGTGTACACATTTTTATATTTTTTAAGTGATGCCAAAAGTGCTCCTAGTATTCTCAGTGCACAATCACAAAAAATAATTAATAGTATGACAATGTTGCACAACTTTAATTATCACTAATTTAATAAAAATTTAAACAGTTTCTATATGTACAATGAGAGTGCTTTCATCTTTACAAGAAGTTATTTACAAAATATATTCATTTATATATTACCTATCAAATTAACATTGTATTATTCGTTTTTCTATCATAATTATTTCTATTATTTCTGTATATTTCTGTATATTTATGCACGATTTATCCCAACATTCTGTTTGTTTTATAAATAAAATAAATCCTTCTTAATAACTCTATACCACCTCTGCCTTTTGCAATATTATGACTCAAGACAGACTTCCCGCTGAAAGACTATGTTCATTCAGATGAAGGAAATAGAAATTTTGTAAAATTATACATATAACATATAACATATAACATACAACTTTACCATTAAATAAATTTGTAGAAAGGTATAAGTTCTACGAATATGTCATAAAAGTTTTTTTTATGTATATAAATTTAAATAAATATTAAAAATTTAAGATATTGATGGAGGAGAAAGGAGAAACTATAAAGTTAGAGCGGAGTTACTATTTTTCAGTTACATATAGCTATTTATGTAGAAAAATATTTATGCAACAGACAAGCCAAAATAAAGTAAATATTGTTAAACAAAGTCTATCAGCGAAGTCGTCAGAGTTGCGACTCAAGCCCCACCAATCAATGAAATTTGTCCTTGAGAAATGTACATTATTCATGGCAGTACAGTCGGATTTCATTTTAATGCATTAAAAATTTCGACTTTCTTTTACCATTATTATCTGTATAGATAAGAACCAATAACGATATTAATAACGAAATATTTTTTAAATGTAAAATTGGTTATGCTTTATCGCTTCTACAATCCTTTTTGATTTTGATTAAATAATCAATTAATATTGCAATTAGTATTCTAAAATCTAACCGATTTTTAATATGTCAAATTTTGTACATATCAATGGTGTAACATAATTTACAAAATTACTATTAAATAATACTATTCATTTAGATTTTTTTTTTTAATGAATTAAGAATAGAATCATAAAAGTTTGGCAAAAGAAAGTTGCACATTAACTCGGCAGTTTTGGATCAGTTCAGTTACTTAGATTAAAGTATAATGCGTTGAGCAGATTATTCTGAGTAACTAAACTTTGCTGTTTAGGAGTAAAGTGTAATTGAGAACGCTTAGACGGTAATAAAAGATATTGAAGTGCTTTTTATTTTTTTGCTTTTGCAATGAATACTTTAAACATTTAAAAACATAACAATACAATACTCTAATATTTATAAATTTACTTCAAATATTCGCGTTAATATTATGAAACATAATCTTACACATTTAACTTAATGAAACTCTCTATTGCAACAAAAAATTTAAATACCATCCAGCACTCTAAACACGATACTCCTGTTATATACAGCAGCATTGTGCGGTATTGACGCATGCAGTTTCACCAGGTGGGGTCCAGCCACACGGCGATCACATAACCATTTATAAGAGATACACAGTCAGTCATACAGGCCTTGACAAGCGACGGTAGCTAATCACTGTCAAGGTCACTTCCCGAAGGTCATTTGTTTTCTCGGGATATTCGCCTCCGTTTTGCCTGCTCTGTTGCTTCAGCTGTTACTAAAACAATGTTCCCGCTGTACGAGGTGTCTTCAATTAAAATAGTATGTGAAATGTATAATTTATAAACAATAAAATATAATAAATTAATGTACGTAATGTATTAATATAAAAAATATATATTCTATATATTTTGAATGTAAGTTTATATGTAGTAATATCAAATATATTATAGAATACCAAATGTTCATTATTTCATTAATTATAAATAGTATTTGTAATATACCCACCAGCACCACTTCGAGTTTTCCGTCTAGTAATATCTTCTGTGGATCTAGATGCACCCCTTGTATTGCTTGCTGGTGTTGCTAATGGCGAAGCTGTGTTTTGTCGAACAGATCTTCTCGTTGTAACTTCTCCTAAGGATTCATTATTGGATACAGATGTACCACGTAGCCTTTCCTTTCCAACGGGAACTACCGTGGTTGTATTCGGTTGTTTGGTGGTTAACAAACGGCTCTCTCTTTGCACTCTATTACTGGCATTGAAATTTGATATATTACTGGAATTAATTTGACTGCCAGAAACAGTTGTGCTTGTATTTGTTCTAGAATAACAAAGATTTATTTACGTAGCGGGGCTCTCAAATCTCTGACATATTCAGAAATGCACTGCTGCTAAAAGAATGCTGAACCGATGTTGCTTACTTTTGATCTTTAGACTTTGGAGATGCAGCGGATGTTTCGTCTGATAATCGCATTCTTGCTTTTCCTACAGATTCAATCAATGGCTCATCATCAGACGAATCTACTTCTACCACAATGGGACCTAAAAATACAAAAATGTTTGTACCAAATTCAGGTACCAATATTCAGGTCCGATTTCAAAATAATATTTATAAACGATGCAAAAACAATTATTTACTAATGACATGACCGAGATTGAGAGATGATAGATTGCTTGTGTAAGCAAAATTACTATAGACACATGTGTAAATATATATTCATGTATATATACATATGCAAATGTACATACAAAAATTGTATATATAACTAAAATAGCTTCAGTGATTCAGTGTGAAGCAATTTGGAATGATCAATTATTACTAATGCTTTCATTATCCTGTTTTTGGCAGTCCTTTGTTGTTTTATAGAACAATAAATAAACAAACACATATCTAATATTTAGAAAAACTTTCTTGCATAATACATAGCGATCCATGTAATCTTATCACCTGAAATCTGCTTGACAATAAATGACGAAAACTGTTTTATTTTAGGTGGAGGGTATCTTAGAGATATTAAGATCATTCTTATTTTTTTATGTCTCGTAGCACCTGTTAAGACGAGTTCAACGATCTAAGAGGTGCACTGATGTTACAAAGAGTAACCATTAAAAATTCAAATAATTTATTTAACAATTTATACGTTGGTTTGCGTTAGAAATTCTCGTTCTTTATCTTGTCTCGTTCTCGCCCTAAAAATCTCTTTATATATATTTTTCTTTTTTTAATTGTGTAACTACTGAAAATTTATTTAGTCTTTTTTATCTTCTACAAAATATTAAATATTTACTTAGGCCTCGTTACATTTCAGATCAGATTTACATACATCAAAATGGCTGAACAATTTCAACTGTGTCCATTTTGAACACCTTCCCAAGAAATGAGAGAAATATCTTGAGATACTTTGTAGAATAGGTCATTGAACTCACTTTAAAAATTGTTATCAGGTACTGATAAAAAAAGATAAACATCCATTTAAAAAGATGGAGATGACCTTAATATGTTCTTAGTATGTTCTTGACCACCTAAAATGAAAATCTTTGCATTACATAATAATCCCCACAAAACCATACGCCTTTTGTAGGAAAAATATTTTCATAATTCTAAAAATAGTGATGTTATAGGTAATAAAGTTACATGAGATACTTTGTATATAATATACCAATACAGGAAACAACATTACTAAATTACTGAATAGCAATATAAAATAAATAATGTAAGATAAACACCTTTTTTAGCCTTCGCCAGTATATTGAATCCCTTTTTTGGCTGTTCTTCTTTAACAGGTACTTGTTTTTTTAAAGCAGCTTCATCAACACCCATACAAGCTTTTATAAGTTCTGCAGCGTTTTCTGAACATTTTCGTTTCCCTGGTCTTGGTTGTGGATCATCAGCAGTACTAGATGCTACAGAACTTTCACTTTCTTGGCGTTTTCTTTTTCCCACTTTTATTGTCGTATTAGGAGATAATTTAGATACTCCCAATTTAGGACTTGCTTTAGCATATGGTGATATACTGCGTCTTTCCTCTAATTTATTAGGACCATGAGGACTACTTTTTGGAGTCTTTGCAATATCAGGACTGTTTAATTTCTGGGATCTAGTTCTTAAAGATCTTTTTTCATTGGTGTCATTTGGTATTTCTATTAGAAGTTGTTCCAGCAATGACTTTGGTGGTCTTTTAACATAGTCATCTGCATTATTTGAAGTTAATCTTTCTACAAATTGTGTTTCATCGCTGTCTTCTATACATATGACATCTTGTCGTCCTTCTAATTCTTGTTTTCTCCTACGTTTCCTTTTCACATGTTCTACATCGCTGGAATCCACTTCTGGATTTTGTGCTGCTGGGCTTGGAGTCTCATCCCTTTGTAAAACTACTGGATTAGAGTATGTATACAGTGGTGGGGTAATTCTAATTGGCTGAGGATCTTCACCAAGAGGTGACTGAATACCTATATTTATATCACTTGCATCATTTACAATTTTCTTAACCAAATCATCAGCAACTTTTTGAAGATTCATAGAAGGCTCTCTAACAGATACTTGTTGATGGCTTTGTACATTAGATTTTTGGTTTTGATCGGAACATTGTTCTAATTTAACAGGTGTTGCGCTTAAAGAAATATTCGAACTTTTCGTACTATCTGATCGATCATTTTTCCTTGTGTCATCAATTTTTTCATTGACATTAGATTCTACTTTGATTTCAGAACTAAAACTCTGACTAATGGAACATGGATTATCTACCACCACATTAGACTCATTTGTAACTGTAGTATCAAGCTTTTCTGTCTTTACCTTATTATAAGCAACATGATTTTGTATTACAGGCACACCATTATTATTTTGTCCATGAGGTTCATCATTTAATCTAATTGCACTATTACCATCTATGACTGTTTTTACATTGTCTTCAGAAGCACTTTCTGGGGCTCTTGACACTTCATGTTTAATATTTGTCTTACCCTGATCATGCTGGTTGATAGAAGCTTCTAATTTAACGCTAGAATTGTCTGTTTCAGAAAAGTCATTCGCTTTTTGCTGTGCGCATTGCAATAAGTTATCACTATCCACAGTATTGGGTACAGAAGTAGTCACAATAGTCACAGATCCTGTCACTAGAGGGCTGGATACACTTTTATCAGTCACTTCTAAACTAGGAATCAAGTCACTATGACCACCAGTTCTTTGTGTTGTTGAACTTGAGTTTTCACTAGATATATTTTTCATGTCATGTTCACTGGAATTTGATATATTGCGATTTAAATGATTTTCAAGATAACTTGCTACAGATACAGGACTTAACCTTTGCGGGCCACTGGACTTTAGAAGTTCCGAATGGGAATTTGAACACATATCACTACTACTAGTTGAGGAAGGCACGTTCTTATTGGTGATTGGTAGGGAAGATTCCCCTTGAACAGCAGTTTTTGCACTGCCTTGTGATACTGATTCAGTCGCTGGTCTATGCAAAGGAGATTCCCCTTGATTCGGTGATTTCTCTGACAAAGCATCCATTGACTCAATACCTGAATCTTCACCACCTCCTCCACTGCTGACTCTTTCTACACTTGCATCTACTCCAATCGCAATTGGAACTGTAGTCTCAAGTAATTTTTGCTTAACTTTTGCTTCTGTTACATTAATTTCTCCAATTGGTAAAGATGGCTTGCTGGAAGGTACATCAACACTTTGGGATCTGGGAACTTGGTCCACTGAGTTTCCTATTGCTGAACTTTGTGAAGTTTTCAGTAAACTAATTCTTTGCGCGTTATCCACCTTAGTTTCCACCATGGATCGATCAGGTTGTTTTATATGATTTTGAATCACTTTTTTATGGCCAAAATGTTCTACTTTATTATACCTGTTAATGGTAGCATTTGCATCATTTTTTGAAATCATATGGTGTTTTAATTTTTGACTAATTTGGCTTTTTGCTATAATATTATAATTTGTTTTGCAATTATCTGTTTCTGTTTTACTTTTTCCAGAAATAATCCTATTTACAGCTGACTGTGTATTTTTAACAGCAGTTTCTACATGTGTAGATACTTTATTTTCAATATTAGTAGATGGATTTGAATCAGTCTGTGGTATAGTTGGAGGTACCAACCCAGAATTTTCATTCTCAAATGGTGAATTATTAGTAGATTTTGTATTTATATTCGTATTTGTATTTGGAACTGGACTGGCGGAAGAGCATTCAGAAATGGTCTTCTGACTATTAAAATGTGTAACTTCTGCATCTTGAGATTCTATAACATATTTTTAAAAAAATAATGGTACACTTGGTTAACCACTCTCCCATTGATGTCGATGTTTTTTAAATATGTTATAGAAATCGATACAATTTCTCCTCTCAAATGTTGGACTCTTAGTTCTCGAGATATTCACAAAAAATTATCATTACAATTACAGTGAATTCTACCTATAATTGACATAATAAACTGACTCAAATCTAATTCTTATCCTTAGTTTATAGTGTTTATAATACATATCAAGCCTGTCGAACTGGCGGCTCGTAAACCAATGGTGCTCATATATTTCTTTGCGAACCATAGGGGAAGAGTCCCTTCCACACCTATTTTACTCTGTTTCCTCTTACCTCTTTCTCCTCCAGATACTACACGAGCCCCACCATTACTCGCTTTTCGTAATAAAAATTAAAAATACCGTCGTATAGATTTAAATAAAATATCATAAAATAACAAAAATATATAATAATAATAAATTATTGAGATCCTGGCCCGTAATCGTAAATTATGGAAAACTGATTTGTGGATTATGAAAATGCATCGCCGCTAACACGTGTAAAAAGAGATTATAAAAAAGTATTTTTCCACAAATTGACAAAGTTAAAAAATTAAATTAAACATGTGTAACGTGTGTTTGCACATGGTGGAAGAATCTGTTAGAGCCTGGAAGTAAAGAAGAAGGAGAAGCGGCTCATCGAGGGCCAAACTCGTATAATTCGCGGAGGGGAAGAAGTTCGACAAGTATATATAAACCAGCTTCGTCGAATTTCTTCCCCTCCGCGAACTACATAAGTTTGGCCCCTGGTTGTACCGCTTCCCCTTCTTCTTTTCCTCCAGGCTCTAACCGATTCCCCTACTATGTATAGACAACATGTTACACATGTTTGACTTAATTTTTCAGCTTTGTCAATTTGTGGAAAAATACTTTTTTACAATCTTTTTTCACACGTGTTAGTGGCGATGCATTTTCATAATCCGTAATTCAGTTTTCCATAATTGGCCCGGATTCTCAATAATTTATTATTATTATTGTATATCTTTATATTATTTTATCATACTTTACTAAAAAAAATCAATATGAAAATATTTTTAATATTTATTATGAAAAGCAGATAACAATGGGGCAACATCCAGAGAAGAAAACAACAGTAGTAAGTTGAATGAGAAGTCATTTGTTTAGATTTGAAAAATGTATGATATAAAGATAAAGAGAGATTGATGTGCTAGATATGCACACATAGGATTCAATGTACTAATATCGGCAATTTTTTGCAAATATCTCAAAAATTTCGGATAAAAATGTCGGATTGTCGATTTCTATAATATATTTAAAAATTATTGAAATCAATAAAGGAGTGATTAATCTATAAATTCACCAAAGTAATTAATTACAAATATTCAATATACAGAGTGCGTCAGAATAATCTTTCAGTTTGACTTTCTCAAAAACGAAGCCTTAAATTAAGAAATTGTATTTTATATTTCATTTATGAGAAATCATCTCTTTGTACATATTATTCCAACGCATTCTGTATAATATGAAAACAATATAAATATTAATATATGTTAATATATACTTAACAAAGATATACTATATCATATTTACCTCCTAAATGCAGATCTTTTTCATCCATTAAACTTAATCTTCTTCTCTTTTCTTGACTAATTAAATCCTTTTTTACGCCATTTACTTCTGTTAATCGTGAAGCAACAGCATTTAAAGTATTATTCTTTTCAATGACAGAGCGAGTAATTTCACTATCACTTGTTCTTCTGATTTCTCCTACTTTCTTAACAGCACTGAAATCATTGCTGGCCAAAAGCGTATCAGCTTTTCTTATAGCTTGGTTTGAATCACCTTTATAATTAAGTTTCCTCCATTTTGCTTGATTATCCAAGATTCTGCCACCAGACAACAAATTTTGTTCACGATGTAAACCCTCTCCCGATTCTGATTTCTTTTTAGAATCTCTTCTTTTAGTTTTTCCTACAAAAAAGAAGTAAAATAGAAAAAATTATTAATTGTAAAAATTAGCATCTTGCGATGGTATCTAGATTATAATATGTTGCAACGGAATAAAGAAGGGAATTTGTACAATGGAGATATTACGTATATCTTACCTCCTCCTATTTTATGCTCTTGTATATGATTTTGAACATCTAATTCAACTTGACTTTTTGTTAAAGATTGTTGTGTATTTAGAGGTTGATTCAAAATAGTAGTTTTATGTTTTGAAGGGGATGGTATCCGACTGTTTAACGGTATATCATCGACATCACTATTTTTACTTGAACTCGGTTTTGTAACACCAGTTTGCACGCGTACAACATCCATGGATAATTCTTGTTTTAAGGCATTAGGTTTTGATACAACTGTTTGTAGTATATTATTCACTTTGCTAATAGAATTAGTGCTATTGATGATCGTAGAATTAGACAAGGGTAATTTGGATGCGGATGAAGTACCTATAATCATGCTTAAAGATTTTTTTTGCAACAACTTGTTCCCATCTATACATTCTTTCATCTTTTTCAATTTCCCCCGCCTTTTTATATTAGTCAGATCGGAATCACCATCTTTTAGCGATTTCCTTTCTTTTTTCCTGATGTGTACTACCGAAGCATTACGTCCTCTTAAAGAAATATGTAACGGAGGCACTCTTGGCTCATCACCAGTCCCTGAGTTGGGAATACCAGTGGTAAACATTTTATTTACCGATTTATCGGCTTTTCTAATCGGTGGTGTGTTTACAAATGAAACATCAACTTTATAAGCTGGCGTAACAGGCTCAGATTTTTCTAACTTTAGCCTTAATTTGATTTTTTCTCCAGGCATCGGACTTTGTGCGGTCTCTCTATTAGATTTTATTCTACTATGTTTCAAACTTCCTTCACTGGCAGTAGATTTCACTGTGGTTTCGGAATCCGATTGATCTGTATTTGTTGTTGTGTCGTTTCTTCTTGAGAAATTACTGTCTGCATCATCGTCGGAAAATATGGAATTCGATCGATCATTTGATGGAGATGGAAAAGGAAAGAAATCATCTTGGTTGTCAACTGCACTCTCTGGTTCTGAATCCGAACTCTCACTAGGCATTGGCTCCAAATGCCCTGTTAAAGGGTTAATAAGAAACTGTCGTATTTTACCAGTCGATGTATATTCTGGTTCAGGCGTCTCTTCTTTAGGCTTAGGAGATTCGGAAGTTTCGACCTTAGTAGCAGGTGAAGTAACATTACTATTAGAAACATGATTAGCATGAGATCCACATTGAGAAAAGGCACCTGAAACCTGATTCGTAGTTGGCAGACGAGTAGTAGTGACCTGAGCACCTTGTGGAATTGAGTTATTTTGTGCATTCCACGTGGTCCCATTAGCATTACTAGTTGTAGCCTGATAATTTCTGCTTAAAATATTTTGACTTTGACCATATCGAAAATCGATCGTGGCGTTAGTGTTAACATTAATGTTTTTGAGTTGATTATGATGTAATTGTTGTTGCACATTTATTACTTGATTTTGTTGTCCTAAATGGGACTGTGGTGGAACCTGTTGTCGCACATAAGGAGGAGGAGTTTGCTGACGCTGATTGTTTAAGTAACTTAGCCGTTGTTGTGGCACATTCATGCCTACTGATGAGTGTTGCATCAACTGTTGTTGTTGTTGTTGCAAAAGTTGTTGACTGGAAACAGGTATAGATTGTAATGATGTATTTACATTTTGCGGTTGTACCAAAGATTGTTGTTGAGTTGAAATCTGTTGTGTAAGTAGATGCGGAGTATTCATATTTTGTTGTTGATTTAGTTGTTGCTGTTGTTGAGATAGAACTTGATGTTGCTGTTGTTGCTGAAGTAATAACTGCCGTTGTTGTAAAGGTGTTCGAATTTGCTGTCCGTTTATCGAATGTCTAATCGAAAGTTGACCCTGTAATTGTACCTGCGAAGGTCTGTAAGCCAATTCCTGTCTGATGGGAAACTTTTGCTGTATTTGTACTTGTGTATGCAATGACGATGCAGATTGCTGTATTTGTCCACTAGCAGAAGCTTGATGCATTGCTTGCTGCGCTATATTTTGCGCAGTACCACTAATTACATTAACTGGATGTTGTTGAGGAATAGTTGAAGGCTGATTAGCATTAACAGTCGCAAATGCAGATGTAGAAGATTGAGATAAGTCAGGAATGGCTGCCGTTCCTCCAATAAGATCTTCCGTTCTAAGAGAATCTAAATTCGGTGGTGATTCGGTAGGTGAAGATAAATCTTTTCTTCTAACTGTTGGTTTTTTGGTGGGTCTCATACGATTAGTAAGTCCAGAATTATCAATAACTGGCTGTAACATTTTCTGACCAGGCATCACATTGTTCGGATGTGTAGCAGCATCATTTTGCAAGAGATTTACAAGAAGTGGACTGGACAAAGCAACTTGATTTCCATTGCCATTTGAATTCCCTGCCAGATTATTATTGTTTGGTGACAGACTAGATGTGGTGGTAATTGAAGACTTGTACTGATTCGTTAACTGACCAACCGATGCAACTGATTGAGTAGTAGTATGACCAGCAGTTAATGTTGTTGCTGTCGTTAAATTCTCTTGAGCGGGATAAGGCGGAGGTGGCTGTACATGATGTTTAAATTGCATTGCATTTTTAATCGTTGTTGCTTGTGATTCACGATTATGTATCGCTTGGGCAGCATGTGTCATACTGGCAAATGGGAATGGACCATTATAATTATTCCTAGGTGAAGCACTGGGATTGGTTACTGATTGATTTCCAGAGGCACCAACATTGTTACTGCTTGATGCTGACTGTACAGATTTTGCAAGGAAAGGTGGAATAGGATCACAGTCTGTAGGTGCAACTACATTTGGAGAACGAAACTGTGGTGTTTTTTCCGATGATGTGCCTAAAATAATATAATAAATATTGAAAAAAAAAATTTATATATTACATCTTAAATCTGTCTTAGTTTTATTAAATATGCAAAAACAATACCAGCTGCAATTAGTTGAGCCACATTACGTAATGCTGAAGAAATACTAGATGCATTACTTGGACCGGGTAAAGCTGTTGAAGATTCATTATCCACATTAGATGTATTGCTAGTGGGTTCATTTTGAGATTTGGCACCACTGTCTTGAGAGGGTCCTGAACGTAATACAATTTCCTGTGCTTCTCCACTAAAGCGATTGGCTATCCTCAGTGATATCACCTATTATAATTAGTAATTTTAAATATTTACTTCAATATCTATAATCTTTTTATTAATCAAATTATGAATACTAATTGTCAGATATGAATTATCTTAAGCAATTTCTATTGTGTCTATACACTTATTATAAAGGTAAAATATTAATATAAATTATAAATACTTATTCTTATTTAATACTTTTATAAAAAAATTGTAACATTTTATAAAAATTTTTAATTGTAGATATCATTTTTGCAAAAAAAATTACATATTTAATAATTTTTAATTTAAAGTGATTTTTGTGTTATCTTTTTTACATTTATCACGTTTCTAAAATATTATCTTATATACTTCAAATTCAACAGAACTTCTCTTAATGTTTTTAGTCATTAAAGTATTTGCCAATTCTTATATATAAAAAGTTAATAAAAAAAGTTAAAGTACAATTTTTACTAATAGAAAATATAAATAACTAAATATTATCATATATAGATTCTATTATACATAGATTCTATCACATATAGATTCTATATTAGTCCAACCATAGTATTGAATTATATACAAACTGAGTCATATTAATAAATATATATTACCTGATCTCCTTCAACCTGCACTGAAAGAATTCCAAGTTGTGTAAGTGTTGGAGAACCCTGAGCTGCTAATTCTCGAAGACGTAATGCAGCTTCTCTGGGTATTGAAAATGTGACTCTGACAGAATTCCATGGCTCTATTTTGTTCACTCTTAAATCATCCCCTTTGTCTATAAATCATTAATCATCACACATGTTATATAAAACAAAATTCAAAACTGTCAACAACAAGAATTACCTTTGCAAAGCAAAGATTTAAGATGATCAACAATGATTTTAAATTTGTGTGGAAACTCTGGATCTTCTAGATTACCTTCACAAGTTATGACTGTTTGAATTAGATCACCATCACTATCAGCCGCCATGACTACAATGTACAATAAATACACAAACATATACACATCAAATTCATTTAAAATCTTATAAATTAATTTATTATTATAATTTTAAAAAATTGTTTATTTAATTTATTATAAAAACCTATTAATTATAAACCTATTAATTAAACCTATAAATATAACCTATTATATATTATAATTATATATTATATATTATAATAAACCTATTTATTATTAAAAAAGAAAATAATACATTAGTAATAATACAAATTGATAAAAAATTATTTTTATATTTATTTTCCCATAATAAAAGAATAACATATACTATTATGTTTTGATATTAATTGAATGAAAAAAGGAAAAAGGAAAATATTTAACACAAATTAATTTTATTAAATTATAATAAACTGTACAATGCAAAAAAAAGAATTTAATATAATTTTTATACTTACCAACCACAAATCACATAACTACCCAGAGAGGTTACAAACGCCTCAGGGTATCACTACAATACGTGGTGATAAGATGTTTAACTGTCGGTTTCAAACCGACAACTCCAAACCACTCCAGTACTAATAAATATGTTTATTGTTTCTATAAGATAAAATAATATATTTTTATTAAACACAGTCAAAAGAATCGATAAAGAAAATTTATTTCATTTATTTTGTAACATAATTGTATTTAAACAATTTTTAAATATCATTACAACAAATTTAACATATATCTATTCTGACATAACAAAATAAATTATTTCATACATACATATGGTACATATGTTTACACATTAAAATAAACAAATTATCAAATATGCATTTTATTTTAGGAAATATAAATTATTTATCAATAATTATATAACATATATAACAAGCATACTTCATATTAAGTTTTTATAAAAAATTTTTAATTTTATTAATATATTATTAATATATATTAATTAAATTAAATATTTTCTAATTGCATTAAAAAATATAAATTATATATATATGTATATATGTATATACATATTATACTAGTTGTAATTTGAATGTACTAAATAAATATGTTAATTCATCAAATATTTAAAAAATTAAGGACTATTTATTTTATTTCAATTTTATTAAATTATAAATTACTGTAATGTAACTAAAATTATAATTTTTATAATTACTATTAATTTTAAATTATAATACTTACAAGATAAAATCTTAATGAAACTTCAGAATTAAATTACTGATTTATACATGCTATACTATAAGATTGATGTATTATTTATAAACAAGAAAATAAAAATAATTTAAAATACATAAAATATTGAAAATTAGATATTATTGATTATTTGATACAAGTTTATTTTGTTATGTCAACAAATGATAAATTATAATATGTCTAAAATAGATATTTATATACAAATGATTGCAACAAAATTACAAAAATGGAAAAAATTATATAAATATTTACACAAAAATATTTCAAAATAAATAAATTGTATTAAATTTAACCACATCTATATGATTAAAAAAACAAAAGTTGAGTACAATATCAAAAACATCAAATAAAAATGTAAAACTGACAAGTCGAAACAAAACAGAAACGAAAACATAGTGCATAAACAAAAAGTGAGGCCAATGAGCATTACTAGGTTATAATTTGATCACGATTTTTGTCAAATTATAGAGATTAATAGAGAAAATATAAAGTTAACATCAATTACGCTATTAATATTTACCGAATCGACGAACATACATAACATAAATGATTTTGGACCAAACCTTACTACTCACGAACTGCAATTAAAATCTTTTGGGCCATAAGACAGGGGCACAACTTCTATGTGGAAGAAAATAGGTTATAGAATATTTTTTTCAACCAGACATAAAATGTAAATTGTCGCGCTAATCGGAATTTAGTATTCTGATGAGAAATTAGCTGGTTTTGGCAATTTTCATAATGATTTCTGACAAAATAAGGCATACAGAGCACTAGATATCGGGGGGCCACCATTTTGTCCGTCGGGGGAGGTGTACGTGAAGTGGGCTCAAGCATGCTCAAGATAGACCGTCAAAAGTCTGAACATTTTTATTTTGTAGCTTCCTTCCATAATTCATAATCACATATGCTTGCCAAAAATAAAGTTAAAATTCGATAATGAATAATATGGTAACTAACGAGCCTCACTTCAGTCTTTGCACAGAACGATTTCATATCGTATGAACACAAGAAAATTTTAACGTTACCCCATTTCTTTCCAACTTCGTGCGGGATTTCTCGCGTTCAAAATGCACGGAGCCACACCACAAGAGCACTAATTTTAATCTAAAATATACCGCGCAAGTCTTATTTCACTTTCTGCACACAGCGCGCGGTAAAAATCACGAAAAAACTCGACATAATCGGTAATATAAAGGGACAAGTCATAAAACGCCATGAACAATAACAAGGAGTCGCCATTTGCAATGCGGACAACTGACATGCGCAAATCAATCGCGCGGGGCATACTGGGTATTTGTAAGGCGCCATCTTGCCAATCATTTTAACATTGAAATTTCCTAACCTTTTGTAGTTTAAATATATTGAATATAACAATTATTATTTATTAACCTCATATTTTACCTAATATTTGTAGAAACTTAATATGATGGAATAAATTACTATTAGAATATTATTTGACGCAATAAGTATTTATTACAAATTCAAGTGTATTACAATGAATTCCTGCTCTTATGAACAAATACATTTAAAATAATAGTTTTGAAATAATAAATAATTAACTTTAATATTGAATATTTTGAATATCTCAAATTGTTGTAATAAGATAAAAATTAAAAAACATATTAATAATTATATACACAATAATAGTTTAAATCATTTTTACATGTAAAAGATATTAGATTTATTTAAATCATAGGAGTTTCAATGTCAAGGTATAATTGCAATATTTATTTATTAAATAAATATATAACTTTTTAAATAAAATTTTATTACCACTAATATCTAATTAATCTGTCTCATGCAGATTTGTGGAATTATGAATTATAAGATTCCATGAGTCCAGCTTTGTTCATTCTATCTAACGATTTCATTGCATCATAATTTCTAAAACATAAGAGAATATATTAGAAATAGAAGTAAAAAATTAAAATTTTTAAGATATTTCATTTACTTGTAAAAATCTTCGACTTTTCGATTATATACATCCATAATTAATACTTTCCATGCCAAACCAGTGGCAACGCAAATTATTGCCGCAACTCCAAAACTTTTCTTAATTCTTGTAACGTGAAGACCACGAAGTTGAGGTTTTGGTAATCTTTTTTCCGACATCTGATATATTAATTTCATATAATAGTATAAAATATTATTATTATTAGACGATATTTAAATATAACTGTAAATAGTCATTTTTTTTATAAAGAAATATTTCTATATGATAAACGTTCTGATATATTTTTCGTACAATATATCATTAACGTTGATAATAGCATTTTTATAACATATTAAAAGTAATTTTGATGTATATAGTATTGATTGTTAAAATTTATATATTAAACGATATCATTTAAAGGAAAATACATATTAATATAATAAAACAGATAAAAAAACTATATTTTAAGAACAAACGTAACGTAGATACGAAACGTATTATATAATATTCGATAATTTTTTTTTTAAGTAATAGTCACACTTGATTTAATTGCAAAAATAGGCAAGAATCATTAAAAAAAAGATTGTTTACATACTTTCGAAATATGAAAGAATACGGTATTTCAATCAACTTCAAGCTACGTACTTTACTCTGAAGTCCGAAGTAATATCAACAATGTACTACCCAGAACCTCCTGGAAGCTATTCGTAAACTTACAAACTGCGACCTACTAAATTATAGACGTGTTCTGCAAGCAATCTTTTTCTTTCTAAGCCTGTGCGTTTTGAATATACTGACACTTAAATATTTTTTAATATAAATATCTACAACAAAGCTAAAATAGAAATAAAATAAGTTTTTATATTTTTTATAAAATTAAATGTTAAAAAAATAAAATAGTACATCTATTTTTATGAAAAGATCTAGTACATAGACGAGATATTATATAGAACTAACATCCGACGCGTTTCTATGACTTAATGATTTCAGATCTTTTGCGACTTTTGAAATATTATATTTCGAAATATAAGGAACTTAAATTTTTAATTGAACTCATAGCGAAAATTGTTTCATTCGAAAATATTTATTGAAATTTATTTTACTAATCTTTAGTAAAATAGTAGTTTTTCCAAAATTTTTGTATAGCCAATTATTAAAATGTTTTAAAAATCTAAATAAATCTAATTAAAAATATACAAAAATTATTCATTGATTCATAAATATAGAATAAATTTAATACGAAACGTATTGTCTTAGTCAATAATAGTATGTTTTAATAACATAGATGAGATATAAGAATTCGTATGAATAGACATTTTATACATTGTTCACATTGAGACAAATTCAATATTATTTAATACGTGATGAAAAGATACATGACACAAAAATGAATAGTAGATGTGAGATCTATCTTATACGTAATCTATGCTTATATTATTATTAGAAGTAAATTTGTAATTCCTATGAGAAATGAGAATATTACTCGATTTGCAGCACGAAGAATATTGCAACAATTAATTATTTACTTTGGTGATACATTTTTTTTAATACTATTATTTCTACTTCGATATGCCAGTGAAAAATTAGCAATTGTGGTTCTCGTGTTTTATCTAATGTCAATATTTACTAGAACACAATAATAGTGACAGCTGAGTGAAGAATTGTTGCGTAGGTAGTTATAACTGCGCTTAAATTATTGAATTGCATATATAATAGAAAGCAAAAGAGTCGACGGTGAATCGTATAATTTATTAGTAAGTTTAAATTGCGTCAAAGTGGTTTTTCAGTTTCTTATAGTTCTTTTACTATGTTGTAGTTAGATTTATAAAATTGTTTGTAAATATCATTTATGGATTAATTTTGTGGTACGTAATATAATAACCGTTTATTTAATAATATGTAATATAATAACCGTAATTCATGCTTTATAATTCTTATTATAATATCTTTTGTTTAAATTCATACTTTTGTTTATGGGATATAAACGAAAGTATCTTTTACAATATATAAATACTGATCTTTTTGTATAAAGTTCATCATTAAAGAATATTTTTATGTAATTTCTTTATAATATTTCTATTTATTCATAGAGTTATTTTATTTATATTTTCTTATTTTATTAATTTATATATTTATATTTATATATCTATATTTATATTTTGTTTAATTAACAGGTATTCATTACGACTGTGTAAAGACAGTCAATTCTATACGTAGCGATCATGGAACAAATGATTGCTTTGAGTACACAAAATCCATTAACTTTATTGGTAAAGTTTGGGATGATGGCTTGGAATGATACTTGTGGCAATGAAAATTGCTCTGGACATGGAGAATGCCATAATGGCACTTGTTTGTGTGAGGTAATATCTTTATATTATATTGTACTTTTATGCTTATTATAATGATAATGTTAATAATAATAATAAAAATTATATTAATATTTAGTCCATATCTTATACTTTTGAATACAGTTTTTATACTTTTTTAATAGATACAATTTGATGGATTAGAATGTCATGTTCCAAATTTAAGTTACTATATTGCATTTGCAAGTATATTTTTTATGCTGGCATTTGTATGCCTAATACAGCTTATTATGTGTATCATCGCTGAATGGCAAAAAATGAAAGCACCATCTTTCCTTAGAGCTTGTAGAGTCACTACACAGAAAGTTCTATATTTTATTGTATTTTTGGCATCATTAATAAGAGGAGCATATTTTACATCACCGGTAAATATTATATAATAAACAATACTAAAAATTTTAATTCTCCTTTAAATATTAACCAAATATTAATCTGACGTTTTGATAGACTGCGTTTAAAGAAGGATGGTCCAGAAGTTTATTATCTGCATATTATCCACTTGTTTTAAGTGGATCGTCTTTAATTGTTTGTTTCTGGGCTGAAGTATTTCACTTAAGAAATATGTCATGGGACAAACCACAGTTTCTTTCAAAATCATTCATGGGTTTTGCTGTGTTCAATGTGTTAACATACTCTCTGCTTCTAGCAGAGTTCATTGTTACTCAAATATATTCCCAAGAAGATCAGGTAAATTAAATAAAATTATATTTAATAATGAAATTTTAATTATTTTTTTATTTTCTAACAAGCTGTTACATTGTTAACAATTTTAATTTATTATATGCAAATTGGTCTTTTTCAGAGTTTTTACACTCACGTTTTTAATGGCTGTTACGCAGTACTCTTGTTTATTGTTGTAGTCTTTTTCTTAATTTACGGAGTGGAAGTGTACTTTAAAGTAAGTTGATTGAAATTTTTATTATGAATAATAAATAAACAAGTATTCTACTAAAATGACTTTCTCTTAGATTCGAGGTGGTTTTTTGAATGATTATCAAAATAGCACAATTTTAAATAAACGTACAGTCACTGATTTGAAAGTTAATGCTGAAGAACAAGTTACTGCAAAATTATTTGATTCAGTTCCAAGTACATCACAATTATCTCAAGTGCAAGAGCAAATAAATATTTCTCAATTACATCAGTCACGTGTAGGATTATTATCACAAGCTTTTATGTTATTTATTATTGTTGGATTTTTGTGCAGTGAAACACTTAGTGAATTTTGGAAAACAAAGTAAGTTTAAACATGTCTTAATTGAATATTATGTTTTTTACATTATTTTATATTTTTTTAATATTATTTTATATTATATTATAATTATTCGTATCTTTTATTACAGAGTTCCTTTGTACAGCAGAAATTGGCATGATATTGTTTTCCGTATTATTGAAGTAGGTGTAATATTATGGTTTCCATGTGTATTATGGAATTGTTTTAGGTTTGTATTTATTAATAAATATCATAATACAAAACTATATTGCTACGAAATTCTGCAGGTAATTTATTGTTATTTGATTAATACTTATCTCTTCATTTCATTTTAGTCCTGAACAATTGTGGATTTTAAATCCAAAGCGTCTTTTGAAAAAATTAGATCATTCAAAATATGTGAAAGAAATAGAATTACAAGATAAAAGTGCAGAACAAGATGCCGCACTTTTTTCGGATGGAACATCAATCAGCAGCAAAGATTGTTGGATTTGTTATGACAGTGAAAGACAAGATGCTGGTCCACTAATACAACCTTGTCAATGTAGAGGTGATGTGAGCGCAGTTCATCATAACTGTTTACGTCGATGGTTGGTCGAGGTAAAATATTACTTTTATTTTGTAGATATTCTTATACTTATAATGTTATCATGCATTATGCATTTCAGAGTTCTATAAATGCTGATAGTCTTACTTGCAAAGTATGTGGTACAAAATATAATGTTGAACATGCAAGTAAATTAGATTGGCAAACTGGTATAACTTCACGTCATTGTTTACAAACTATTGCTATTGTAACAACTATGTGTGGATCATCAGCTGCAGCTTGGACTCTCATTCAGTTAGTAGAAGGTCCAATTATTAGAATGTTTGCAGCTGGTACTGCATTATTGGTTATGTATGTTTGTATAAGGTAAGTTATTAACAATTGTTGATATTTGTACTCACTGTACTAGATTATATTTATTAGAAAATTTATTTTTAGGTTTTTAAGCTTAAACACAGTTGTGGCATATCAGCGTGCCAAAATTTCATCTTTAAATATTATTAGTTCTGACAGTAATGGAAATGCACATGTTTCAACTATTAGTCATACAGTTTGTGTAGATTTGGTGAAATCTGAAACAGCCACGATATAAATGATATTCGACTATTAATGATTTATTTTATTTTTATTTTCAAGAAAATTTAACGAAGTTAGGACAAAAATTCTTACTATATGAATGTAAAAAGTATGCAAAATTGCATATATTATATATTTTTTTCTACATCTTTACGTTTACTTTCAATGTTAATGTTGGTAATTATTTAACGAGTTGTGGAAAATGAATTACAAAATAATTTATAATTTTTTAAATAATTAGATTATCAAATGTTCTTCAAATGTCCAACTAGTCCGTTAATAAGTTACCATAAGTTTAAAAAATTTTGTCTATTGTTTTTGATTTTGGTAACAAATTGAAATTATTGTTCAAAACAATGTTTTTTTTTAATGAAAATGAAAAAAATATAAGTTTGAAAAGAGCGTTCTGTTATATACAAATTACATATTATTTAAGCAAAAATGTTTGCTTTTTAATTGCAAATATGCAACTTTAAATTTAGATTATGAATTGATACGAATAAATATAATTTAATAGAATGAAATGTTACCAATGTTACAAATACATATACAGTTCTGTATTGTTTTTGAAACTAATGTCTTCGTAAGTGCAGAAACAAAATGTTTTAAGTGAATAATTGTATTTAATTGAGTTATGTTTATTATAGAACGTTATAAAAAAATATATGCAATATACCATTTTGAATTATAAAAATTTGTTTCTATAACATAAACAAGCAGTTTGCATACTATGTTTTAAAATTCGTACTAGATTTTATGATTTTATGAAATCAGAAATATTGTGAATAATGATAAATATTTTCTAAATAACTCATTGACACGAACATTTTTAAGTGCGTTAATAAGGTTATTGTTTCTGCGATTTTATATTTGAAAATACTCGTATTTCATATGTCTCTTAGTTTTATAGGATGTATATATAATATTATAATTAAAAAGTGATATATATTTTCTCTTCTTGAGAAAGAGTATGTTATATAATATCGTAATATTAACAGTTATTCTTTACTGTATTTTTTGTAGTAGTACAAAAATATTCTAATTTTAATAACTTATTATAAAGCTAATATACATCACAAGTGTGCGGGGTAGTTCTAACTGTTGAAAGATATATTTGTAAATGTTAATAATTAGCAATTATGTATCAAATAATACTAATAGAAATATTTGTTAAATATAAAATGGTAAATTATCATAACAAAAATATCATTACCGTCATATCTATTTTTTTATTATAAATTGGCTAATGTAATAAATTTATATTGAAAACATATATATATTTAAATTTAATTTCAATAATTTATTTTTCAAGATTTCCAAATTTAAAATCTTTTATGATTTATATTGCTATTTCCATTGCCCTGCGGATGAAACTTAAATATATTGTTTACTAACACATTATTTGATACAACTAACTTAAAAATATCCCTATAGAAATATAACAAGTTGTAATATTAACATTAGTTATATATGTAAGCATATTCAGGTAGGAAAATAATATTAAGTGAGAAGATGCAGACTGTATCATGTCCAAGTTGATTATTAAATAAAAAGGCCAAAATAAAATTACATTATTCATTGTTAATTTTATTGTTATGTTTACAAAGACAATACTTAACAATGTTATGTACCAAATTAAAATACTGATTATTAAAAGATAAAGTAAATTTTTGATCAATGAATGTGGAAGAGCAGATGAAAATGAAATATCTGAATTTAGGAATGATTCCGAGTACCTTTTATTACTATATTATTTTTTAGACAATTATTTAGGTATGTATAAGAAATACATTTTACCAATTAATCTGAATATTTAATAATAAGTAATATAATTATAGATATACAGATACAACAGAACTTAAAATATGAACTACTAATTTTATATTTATATTCTTTTTCAATATTAGATCTGCTCTGACTGTGCAATAATATTACCTGTTGCCATGTGTAAGTGTAAATGTTTGCGTCAGGTTACTTCTTGAAATTGAGGTTTTGTATATTGATGGATAAATTTTAAATGCGAGTTTTTTTGCTCAACCTACGCTGAAACATAGTATAAATTCTATAAAAAGTGTAATTTTAAAATAATAAATAAAAAGTACAGATTTTTTTCTCAACAGTAATATTTTGTGGAACTAATAAAAATTTTACCTGCGATGCCTGCAATTGCCTCTGAAGCAAAATATTTGACGTCGACATCACTGTCTGTATTGAGCTTATCAAGTACAGGTTTTACTTGAGCCTGTACTGCACAAGGTTCAAGATAAGGTCCAATTTTTTGAAGGGTTTTAGCAACATTAAATCGAACATTAGCAACATTATCAGTGGCCATTCCTAAGACAGTTGGAAGCATCACTCTTGTTGTTATTTCTGGACCACATACTTCTGCCAACACCTAAAAAACAGGAACAATAGAAAAATTATAAATCAATGAATTTATAAATATAAACAACAAAATAATTTACTCACATTGATACAGAATAAACACGTCATTCTGTGAAGATAATTTTGATCCCTTGACATTGCTAAAACTTTAGGTATTACAGTATTCTGTGCCCATTCAGGGCCAAATTTTTCTACGAGTTTTTTCAGGTTTAATGTCGCTGCTTCTCTGATGGCATAAACATGGTCTACTAACCAAGTCATACACAAGGAATTTAGTTTTTCATCAAAGAATTCTACTCCAAGTTGTCCAGCTAATAATGGCATATATCTATGATACACAAATAAATATACATGTTTATTACAAAAAGAATACGATCGGATATATGTAATACAATTTGAAAAATACTTACTCTATGATGGCATATCTCACACGCCATTTTGAATCTTCAGCTAATTCTACAATAGCTGGTAAAAGAGATTGTGAAAGTTGTTGTATTCCAATAACTTCGTTAACACATTCTAAATTGCTGATAATATTTAGACGAACTTCCGAACATTCGTCTCTGAGTTGTGATAAAAATAATGGTAACAAATGTTCGATTGTACTGCGAATTCAAGAAGTTTTAGTCATTATTCAACCATTAGTTAATTCCAAACACATTCACATAATTAAATAAATATATATTTGCTTACTTGTGTTTCCCAAGTATTGGACTAAGACCCATTATAACACTTGCTAAAGCTGATTTCACATGTTGGTTTGGATCTGATACAAGCTCTTTAACTATCGGCAATATTTGTGTCATGATAATAGATTCTTGATTGAATTTGTCGAGATTTTGACAAAAGTCGCGAACTTTATCAGCTGCAGCTGCTCGTACTTCAGCCTCTATATCTTTTAATAGTACTTGAAATGCTGGTACAAGATCCGTTTTTGTAATTTCTGGACCTACAGCTTTTTGAAGCTGTAAATAAAAATAAATATTGGTTAAAATTAATTAAAGTTAATATTATTCAAATTTACTAGAAACAAGACAAATATACAAAAATAGCTCACATCTGTAAATTTATCTGCCACCATATAACGTACACGCCATGACTGATCACTTGCACATTGTCTAAGTGTAGGCATAACTAATTGTTCTACATCTTCTTGTGGTAACAGTGCTGCAATACTAACACAAGCTTCAATTGCCAAAAGACGTACTGAATCCTATAAAACATGTTATAAATATTAGCGATATGAATATTTTACAATTAATACAACAATTTTTTATGTATTATCTTACTTGTTCATCTTGAGCCAAAATAACAAACATTGGAATTAAATCTGCCTTTACATATTCAAGTTCCATAACTTTTGCAAATTCACCTAAATGTGAAGCAGCAGATCGACGTGCCATAGGAGTATCATCTTGACATAAGTTACGAAAGTGGTTTCGTAAACATGCTAAAAAAGAGAAATGAGAAAAAAAACAAATTTATATTCATGCAAAGAAAGAGACTTCTCCTAAAATTTAAATTATTTACCTTTAACTGTTGGATTAACACGTGGATAACAAACACTAAATAAACCACATGCTGATGTTCTTGATGTAAACCAATCTCCTGTTGCCAAACGATGTATTAAAGGAACAAATTGTTCCTCTAGATCTGTTGAGCTATGTTGAGCAGCAATTGTTCTTAAAGATTCCACTGCTTTATCTCTAACAACAGTTTCTTCAACTGTTGCCAGACTCTCTAGAGGTTTCTGAATTAAAATAAATTTTTATTAAAATATTTACTAATAATGAATTTTTTTTAGGAATAATATCTTCAATATCTTAAGCCTGCTTCAAATTAAATGCAACTTTCTTCATAATCAATTTCCTTTGTTTCAAATATGCAATAATAAAATAATTGTGTATATGCTAACAATAATGTTTAAAAGTAATTATTTCTTATTCGGGATATTATATACATATAATTATACTAAACATGATTTGTTATAATATAACACATGCCTCAAATGAGTATATAACATTCTTCTATCATAAAAAAGAAATAATCAATTTATGTATTCAGTTAAATATTAAACTATGTCATGTATACAAAAAAAGGTTTTCTAAGTATCATTGCTAGTTCAGCAATTGAATGAAATAGTAAATAACAATATATACCAATAAACAATGTACATATTCTGGACCTCCTACGAGAGGAGTAAATTGTCCAAGCTGTTCTGCCAAAGCTAGTAAAACCTCATCCTCATCGTACATAGACTCAGTTAAAAATGGTATTAATTCGCTACGTGTTCGTTCAATGCCCAATGCAAGGGCAATCGTGGATAATTTTTTGATCGAATTCAGCCGTAACTGTAACAAAAACGATTCTGTAAATATGCTGGTCAATCCTTTATAATTCACTCATTATCTTCACAAGTGCCTTTTTTTTTTATCAATTACTAACTAAACTAAAATAATATATCTCCTTGAATTTAAGTCTTTAAGCCTAGAAGCATTTGACGAGAGTGTTATTATCTAAATAGATATACCACAATGCTAGGTGTATCGATATAGAAAGGAGAATATTTAGAATACAATGACAGGAGAGTAAAGAAGTATTCCATGGAATCGTATACGCTACCGCTGTAGCCGCCTTGACACTCTGTTTTCTTTAGCAATGGCAAGCGGTATAATAAATCGATTACTTTGCAATTATGAAATATAGACGTCAAACGTTTTCAGAATTACCTGTACATCTTCGTTTTTTAGTTCGTCGATCAAAACAGCAATTGGATAAAGACTGTCGTCCGTGGTAGAGTCGCTCGCTGCCATTTTGCTGCCGATCACACCAAAAACTCCCGTATATTCAAGTAGTGTTCACATTACTGCGCCATCTGATGGTTATTACTATTACAGGGAACCAGCGGCATATTAAAATCTGTTCTTTTATACATTTCTCTACGATTTAAAATATCTAACGTTTGAACTAACTCTATTATTGTTAACTAAACCTATATATTTGTATATTAAATCAGCTTCATGCTTTCGAGGCATTCACATAGTCTAAAAAAAAAGATTAAGAGAATTTTTTTGTTTCATTTTGCTAAGAACCTTGTATATATTGATATTTTCTATTGTTTGTGACGCTTTTATTACGTATACATTATCAAGCATGACACGTACATTTCTCATTTTTAGTTTTATTATATCTTTCACATATCATAGAGTATAGTAATATTATTACTTTATGATATTTTCAATATTAAAATATGCACTCCAGTTCTCAATGTTAATGCTGGGAATTAAAATAAATTTTAATTACAAAAATTTCAAAGTCAAAGTCTGTTAAGTCACCTAGATTTGCCTGATTTGCGTGAAAACTACTGATCAATTCTTACCGTATTTCTTTATAAATATTCAGATACTTTGAATTTAATTTACGACTGAAGACTCAAGTCAATAATCAATGAGTGAAAGAAGAAGTGGGAAAGGAAAATTTCTGCCTTATTTCTGTACCATACACATAATAATTGTTGTACCGATAGCGATAATTAATGTACTATCTTGCTAAATATAAATAAATATTTATTTCTTACTGTTTTATGAATAAAATGTTTCTCGGTATTCTTTTGAAGGAATTTTGTCTCTTCGATCTTGAGAGAGCAATGATTTTGATCCTGTATATATTTTTTTGGTATTATTTATTATTATGTAAATGTGTAGATTTTATCAGTATGTATATACTTTGCTTTTATATTAAGCAAAATGTGTAAGAAACAATGACGTTCGGAAAAGACAGTATTGCGTGATTCAACGCTTCTTGGAAAAATATCATTCTAGGAAAAATAACATTCATTCGAATTGTTGAGGAAAAAAGTGCAACAATATGTAACAAACGTTGAAGACATTGTTACAAATAGTTTTTGAATGAGAATGATTACAGCAAGTTATTTTGACGAGGCTAAATTTCATAATTATATATGGTGTTATATATGGTGTAATTATAATATAATTAGATCTGTAAACATGATCAAAAAACCAACATCAAAGCGTCATCTTTGATGGATTAATTCTTAATAACTAAATAATTAATTTAAATCATCTTATCGTTGATTTCCCCAATAATTAATTTATTTAGGTAATTAAATGGTTCATTTAAACTGCAATTAGATCGAAATACTTAATTTAAATTAATTTAAATTAATCGTTCAATTTATTTGACTGGTCAGTTATCTTGGCCAGTTGATCTTTCATTTCATAAATTTTATTTATATCTCTCGTCCAAAATTTTCGTTATTATATAGAAATTGTATTTCAAATTCTATATCACTTATAAATCGCGTTAAAGTGTATTAGATTTTGTCGCCTTAAGATTTTATCATTAAGCAAATGTGAATCCATAAATAATTGTATCTGGAAGCAGATGATCTTATCTTAGTTATACTTTAAAGAAATCTTCGTTTTTCTACGGTGTACAGCATCCAGAGAAACCGTGGTATTTCCAAAGTTTAAATCCATCAAGATGGCTCATTCGATCTTCAACGAAGTGAGAGTGTTTGAGGATACGGATAAAGAAACAGACATAATTAAAAGTATCATTAAAACGGAATATCATTCAAAAGAGGGACCGTTTTGTATTCTTGATGTTGCCGATGTGATGCGGAAACATCAGAATTGGATCGAGAAGATGCCAAGAATTATTCCACATTATGGTAACATTAAAAACTTCCTAATCTGGAATTAATTTGTCAATCTGGAATTTATTGCTATGTTCCTATTATTATATCTCAGATTATTTACAAATATTTAAGGAATACTTATTAATAATACAAGTGTTATATTATTGTTATATCGTATTATTATGACTTAGTCATAAAATTCAAAAGTAACTCAGATTAATCAATACTGATAATTAATTAAATATAATATTGTTTGCTCATCACAAAGAGTAAAATATATTTTTATAATATCTCTTGTAATATTTCAATCATTAAAAATAAATTCTTTTCTAAACTGAAATAAAATATTTTCTACGAATATTTTATACTTAATTAATTGTATATTAATTGTACAATTGATGTTTACATTATTATTATTATTTCTCAATGTGTTTTGAAATTTCAGCTGTCAAGTGCAATGCAGATCTGGCCCTCCTCAAGATCTTGGCAGTTTCGATTGCGCATCCGAAGTATATCCGTGCTATAACAAATTTTTTTCAAGCTAGATTCAATACTATTACAGCAATGTTTATACTTTGAAATATACTGCTTTCCGCCTTTATTTTCATTAGCAAGAAATACGGACGGTTATGGAGTTAGGAGTACCTGCGAATAGAATTATCTTCGCAAACCCGGCGAAATGGACCACTCACATTAAATTCGCCAAGATGATGAACGTCGAAAAAATGATCGTCGACAGTGACACGGAAATTCTCAAGATAAACGACATTTTCCCAGAAGCGAAGTGAGCGAACAAAATGATAAATCAGTGATTCACTTTAACTAGATATTGGAACTATCGATCGCGACGATTAAACTGCGAAACTTATTTGAGAGATGCAAGCATTGAAGGAAGAGGGAAATGTTTACAATACAATGGAGAACACAAGCTTTCATCTTGTGAAAAATTACTCGAATCATTTAAATGTGAAAAATTACGAACCGATCATTCTTGACCAGTTCGATAGATCTACTATCAATAGAAATTGTAAACTTTCATAATGAATGATAAATAACCATTTTCATTTTTCACATAATCAACAGAATAGTGATTCGCATTTGTTGCGACGCCAAGAATGCCTTGATATCGCTTGGAATGAAATTCGGCTGCGATCCAGACGAAGAAGCGGTCCGATTGATGCGTTTAATAAAAAGCCTTGGTTTGACGTTGTGGGGCTTTAGTTTCCATGTCGGCAGCCCGTGTGGCGAATTAGAGGCTTATGTCAGAGGAATCAGAATGTGTAAGAAACTAATCTCGGCTGCTAAAGAAATTGATTGCAAAGATGTTCAATTAATCGATGTTGGTGGCGGATTTCCTGGTAACAGAGGATTCTTTATCGATCAGGTGAGACTTTGCCAGACTTCGAAGCTTTGAGATTTATAATTAGATTTAACACTTTCGAGTGTTCGCTAAAATTACCGAAAAATAACAAGTAAGGAGCATGTAATAAATTAACATCACAAGGACCGATGACATGACTGCGGCGTCATGCTGAGTTTCATCGGTTGTAGCCTGCTTGTTTCGTCGAGTCGTTACATTTGCATTGTTGTTTCTGAAACATCCAGATTGCAAGCCTTATCAACAATGAAATCCAGGACATCGACCCGAATATCACGATCATCAGCGAACCGGGGCAATATTACGCAACATCGGCATATAGTCTCGTATCGCTTGTGCATACAAAAAGAGTTGTTCGTAAAGCGGAGAGAAATCAGTTAGAATGTACTACATGAATTGTGGAGTGTACAACTGTTTCATAGAAGAATTGTTGAATTTAAAGGCGAGGCTACCGGTACCGTTGGATAAGGTAGGATATTTTATATAATAAATAGGATAATGCATAACATAAAATTATATATATATATATATATATAATAAAATAATTTAGATTTGCAATAAACGTTAGATTAAGTTTCTAAAAGTTGGATTTTCAGCTTTTAGCACGAAGAATAGAAAGATGTGCAAAATTAGGTACAAAGAGATTTAGGAGGAAATTATTATATTTGACGTGATATATTTCAGTCAGAGAACGATGAAAAATTCGTTTCATATATTTGGGGTCCAACCTGTGATTCCTTGGATTGCATTTTGAAGGACGCAATGCTGCCAGAATTTCAGCAGGGTGATTGGTTGATCTGGAGGGACATTGGATCCTACAGCATGAGTCTTAACTCTTCGTTCAATGGTTTCCCGCCACCTAAAATATATCCGATTGCGAAAAAAAGTCAGTGGTTAGTATAAACGTTAATTTGTAATAATTTGTAGTAATACATGCAATACAAATTTTGTAATTAAACATTCTTGAATGTCTGTTTGTTTCTAGGAAAAGCTTTATTGCTTATACAAACAGAATGCAAAAATCGCAGGAGCTCATTTCATTAAATAATGGAATGGAAAATAGAGTAAAAATCAGTTGATAATGATATTATTAGATTAAAAATAAATTATATTGTTTACAGTGTATTTATTGTAATATATTAAATTTATACATTTATACATTTCAAACGTTTAAAAAGTGGAGATATTTTGCAAATGATAACTTAATATTTTATTTATGTATGTCGTTTAATGTGTGAAATTACGTGTGCGTACATAGATAAATGTATAATAATGCATTCTTGTACGTTATGATTGCTGTACAATAAAATTACATAAATAAACATATAGTTTTACAATAACGTGTTGATAGAACTTTTGGTAAACATTTTTATTAAAAAAAAAGGATAAAGGACCTAAGGATATAAATATACATATTTTTGTAAGTAACTTTACGATATTTTATATTTTTATTACTCACAGTTTGATTTTACATGTTAACATCACGTCTTCTTTCTTTAAATAAGTGTCGTATTAACTAAATTTGTCGCTTTCCAATCATTCCATCTGTACAAGTAAAATATTATTCAAATCAAGGAAAATGCAAGAAATATTAAAGAGAAATGAAATATAAAATTATTTAGATAAATATAGATAAATGGACTTACTTTTTCGCGGTGTTACATAAACCTGGTTGAAGATGATTCTCTTTTTCAGTTTCATAAATTTCTCGTGCGTCTATGGAATCTTGTCGTGGCTGTTCCGAGTTTATCAATGAATCGCTCACCTTTAGTAATACGACACAAAAATAATCACACTTTTTTAATGATTATAAATTATAAATTATTTTATCGTCGTTTTGATTAAACTCTTCAAACGTACTTCTTCCACAGCTTTTAATACACGGATCAAATTTCTGCCGGCTAATTTTTCAAGTTCCTCTTTGGTCCATCGTGGGGTCACATCGCTTTCGTACAGGCGATCGAATAATTCCGGGTATTTAGAAACGTCTTCCAAACCCTCTGGCAATCTAAAACATATTATTCAAACTTTTCCAAATCATGCTTATCTCTATAATATTAAACATCGCGATTTGTAGCGTCGATGTTACACTTACGACTCTATACCATCATAGTCAGATCCAATGCCAACGTGGTTGGCTCCGATAAGATTACGAATGTAATTAATGTGATCTATAAAAAGGGAAATAGATAATAATTATTTATAGCAATGCTAATTTTACTATTTTATAGTTTCATCTTTTTTTTCCATCGAAACGAATGAGTGGTATTATGATGAACTTGATACATATAAAATTTTAGAATATAATTTTACATATAAAATTTTATATAAAACTTGTTACGTGTAAAAAATAATACTTAATAATAATAATAATAATAATGACAATATTAACATTATTTGTCTAATCATACCTATAACATCTTGTATAGTGGCATTTCTCGAGGAATTGCAATTAATAAACTCTGAGTAGAAGTTCACCATTACGATACCATTGTTGTTTTTCTAAAAATACGCTTAGAATTATATTTTATTGTTATTCCATCATTTCACATCAGAAAAATTACTTACAACCATGTGAAGAACATCGTCAGGTACGTTACGATAGTTGCGACAAAGGCTAAAGACAGATGAATGGGAGAAAATGATAGGAGCTTTCGTTACTGCGAGTGTCTCCCTCATAACGTTATGGGACACATGCGCTAAATCGACCAACATTCCTAACCGATTCATTTCGAGGACCACAGCCTGTTGAAAAAAAAAAAAATTAAAAAAATTAAAAATTAAATTTTAAAAAATCCACATCTTCATAACGTGTGTAATTTAAAATATTGTACGTATATTAATTTATTTTTACGATATAAAAGAAAGGAATCAAAGATGTTCGACGTACTTGGCCGAATTTCGTAAGATTGCGAACAGAGCCATCGTCCACCACTGATGCGTCAGCCCTTCATTAGAAAACAATTTTATATTTATCAATATTTTTGATTGTTTTATTTTTTCTTTTTTTTTTTATAAAACTTCATTGCATTAAAAGCTAACGTTACATTAATGCGAAATTTCGCTTTTATCAATTGAACACACTGATCAATGTTTGTCAGTTTTTCCATGTTAAAATTCGATGATTTGTTGAAAATTCTCGATTGATGGGAAACATGAAAAATATAGAAAAGAAGTAAGATATACCATGGTGTGTTGCACATGTGGGTGAGCGTCATGTAACGCACACCGAGTTCGTAGTAGAGCCGGAGAACAGCCAAACTAGAGTCAATGGAGTGACCTCCTTCGACACCAATCAACGAAGCAATTTTTCCATTACTCCATGCTTCTTCGATATGTTTGGCTTTCGTTGCGAATTGCAAATCTTTCGGATATTTAGCGACTAATCTTTTGATAACGTCGATTTGTCTCAGTGTAAGCGGTACTGCGTCTTTAAATTGCGACTTACAGTGAACGTAGGCGGCCCAGAACTGAAATTTACACTCGTTATTATTATCACTAAACGAGTTGTGAAAAAATTTAATGCAGATCAGTAAAATTTTAACTCTCACAATCTATATTATTAGTATAAATTGTAAAGATTTAGTATTATTGGTGTACGATAAAAAGCATGCGACAATTAGATCGTAGATTGTTTTGCATGTACGAGAAATTTAAGAATGCATAATACAATATTATATATAGTAATATATAATGTTCAATAATATGCATACTGCGTAATATAAAAAGAAGTAAGATACTCTTTTTAGTATTTAATAGAGAAAGGAAATTTCTCTTTAGGTTTTATTTCTTTAACTGTATGAAGATTTGAAGTTTAGTAATAATACAATATACTCACATAGTAAAACATAATAATATTTTACTGAATTTTACGATTCATTGTAGTAGTATTTTATTTTATTTTATTATGAATTTTATAATAGTTGGCTATCAAATCAGCTGTGAGGAAGTACGAGCTCTAACTATAATATTGCGAAAGATTAACGCGTGAATCACATAGTTATGAATAAATTATCACGCTTTTACAGTTACTGACGGACACAATTCAATTAAATGTCAATTATTGACATTTACAATTACATTGTCAATAAATTCACAAGTACCATTATTATATCTACATTAATTACAAAAAAAAAAAAAATAAAAAATAATAAAAAAAAACGAAAAGATCGATCAAGTATACACCAATAGAAACTACGTAAAAAAATTCGTGCTGTATCTACCACATATCATTGCATATTGTGACAAACTGTATGATAAGATGCTCTGCTAAATGAGTCAATCAATTTGTTTCAAAATGTATCTGCACATATGATAAGAATGAAAGTCTGTCTTTTGTATTTGCAGGTTCTCCACTCACTTGTGCACCTATTTTTCCTTTTCTCAGTCGGGGAAGATCTGTATGGCATGTTCTGCATGCATTGAAACCCCACAGTGCATCGTCGCTCAAATTTCGCGTGAAGTTGAACGTGTCCAAATTGTTGTTGAGTAACTCGTACAGGTTGTAAGGCAAATCATTGTGACTGAAACGGAGGAATGACATTATATTTGCGTGAAATAAGAAAAAAAGGAAGAATAATGTCATTTACTTTTGTGGTAACTAAAAAGAAATATCTAGGTAAATAAATAAATAGATGTTTCAGAAACACGCGAATGCTGCATCATTATCTTTGATTTATGTTAATTGACTAATGTGATTCTAATCTGATCTTAATGGTAGTGTGCAATTCAGAAGAGAACTAATCTATAAGACAGTGATCTCTAATAAGAGTATTAATTAATACATAATCTTATCTATTTACTACTTCATTAGGATAATAATCACCTATCATGCTAATAATTATCTATCAGTACTAATAGCAATAATAATCTTTCGTTATTATAACTTCTTCTTCTACAATTTGCCTCGTTTTAAAATAATTACTACGATAACAATTATACTAATTCGCTATTTATAACTCTTTTTAAACAAAATTCTTTATGTTTTCTGCAATTTCGAAAATTTTTTTTTCTTTTCGAAATGGTAATATCGAAGATCACTCACCCATCGATAAGTGGTGCCGTGTCGAGAGCATCGCTTCCTTTGAAGTTGCCAATACTCAACCCTACGGAGAAACCAATCACGAACAGTAACAATGACAAGAAGAACGCGATACCCGCGTAAATCATCTTCGCGGTGCAGTATTTATTTTTAGCTAAGCTTCCTGAAAAACAAATTCAACAGTATGTAGTTACTTAGCGGATGCTACTGACAGAGATTCGCATGTTGCAGTGATTTTATATGTTAGAGGGCAACCGATAATTTTCTGCTTTAATTGATACGAAACAGCAATGTGATTGCTGATGGTCACTCCAGGATGAAAGATCTTTGATAAGTATATACTTATACACTAATTATCAAATTGTGTCTATCAACGTTTGTGTCTCGTTGAATTTAATTTCAATGTCTTTTAAATTAGATAAGATAAATTAGATAAGAATAAGTAATTAATTATGTTGTACGAAACATATATCAATTTATGTATGATATTAATTTGTGAATCAAGCTCGCAGAAATATTTGAATATTTATAAGGACTTTTATAAATATATTATGTGTGTTATATGAACATCTTGAAATTTTATTAACACTGTAACACAAGACTCGACTATCATGATTACAGTGGCCAAAATATTATAGAAAATAAATATATTAATTTATTACTTAATATAATAAATTAGATATTAAGTATATTTTATAAATTAAATACATAATAAAAATTTTAAAATTAAATAAATATAAAAAGATATTATAAAAAGAAATTAAACTGAAGATATTTAATGCAAGAAGTATTTAAATAACCCATTATCTAATATGACTTCAATATACAATGGGACTATCCTTATAAGCATTATCAAATTTTACAAAATTAAATACGTAAAATAAGTATTCGAATACTTTCATGAGTCTTCTTGTATTTGATTTTAAGTTTCATACACATATATTATTAAGACGAATTTAATTAGAAAAGTTAAATCAAGAAGTTCATTAAGTCCCAGAAAAAATAATTTATGAATAAATTATCTCATGATTTATATTGATTATAGAACGTCAAATAGTATAATAAGCTTATAAATATTATACTAAAGACTGATACTATTCATTTATTGATTCGTTTCGCAAAAACGTACAATAATTTCTATTATTAAATTAAATTAAAACAATTCATCTACGATATAATACAATATATTAATAACTTCTTATGTAATTATTTATAATAAATCTTAAATAATAAAAAAGAAAGTGAAAGTTTTGTGGTTGCCATTTTGCATATGATAACGATACCATGATAACCTTGTAATAATGATCTGATACATTTCTCCTCACATGTGTAAATACTTTGTATATGTTTAGGGAGAAGGATTTTACACCGAGTTTAGCAATTGTAATATTAAACGTTGCATATTATATTTACTAAAATTCTATCAAATTACGCACAAATTGTTTCTTTCACTAAACTGGCCAAACTAGCTTTATTGTGCTCACAATGAACTCTCGTAAGCAACTGACTCGGTGAGAACTCTTTTGAGACTGACATCTAATCTTCACACGTATAGCAAATACAGAGGTCACTGGAAAGCTAAAGCACATTTCTCTGATTTGATTTATTTAATTATCGGACTGTTTTCAATCCTTTCGAATCGGGAGATTTAAATTTAAATATATAAATCTGTAATGAAATTTTCAAATTAAGTTACTTATTTTTTTTTCTCAATTATAGCAAAAATCGCAATATTTTAGTGCTTATTGAACTTTTATAAAATAGTATTATTGAAATTTATTATAGCACGTACATACAATGCAGCACATATACATACATATAGTGAATTACTTTATCATATATGTATTGTGGGATGATATAATGTAATGCAATAAACGTGTAATATACAAACATGTAATCAATTGCTGATTCCCCAGAGAGGGATAATTATTGCACGTCGAATATTTTCAAGTTCATTGGAGATTGTAGTTTAACGCAATGACGATTAGTGTACTCCGCAATAATGATAACTGATTTGATTAATAATGACATTATTTGCCTGAATGATGTGACATGACAAGCGATTCAATGCATCTGTACAAATGATTTACTCACCCATAGCAAATTTAGAGTAGAACGTTCCTCCAGTAACACTATTCACACCCATCCTCCGAAGATAACTCGTTCGTCTTTAACGTGCAATTTCTGTTCACTCTGACACTATCTATGTATAGGTGAACATAATAAAGTCCAACAGGTTGTTCTTTCATGCATTACTTTGCTTTAAGAAATTTGTATTATCATAGTTCGTACGCTAGGTTTTCTGTTTATTCTGGATAAGAAGCACGTCAAATATCGTAAAATATGTTACGTATTATAGCGACAGATGGAAATGTTTCAGTCTTATGATGGTATAAAGATATCGAAAATAATAAAAACTGCAGTAATTGAGAAAATAAGTACATCGTACGTAACAGCTGTTATGTTATAATAGGTCAGTTCTTAATTCTAAATATAAGAAATGCGGTGCTAATCATATTTATGAAAATATAAAAATAATTCAAGGTAGCAAATGATCTTCTTGTTATTTATAATCAGTTATTACGACGTTAAACAAATGTTGACCGAAAATGTTGCGATTAGAAAGTCATAAACAATGTGCTATATAAAATTTGCAAAATAATAATATAATTATCTTTTTTCCTAAAAAAGTATTTTTTTTTTCTTTTTACTTACTAAAAGTAAGTAGTTTCGATGTTTCATATTTTAATTTTTGTAAGCATTATATCATTATTTTCTCGATGCTTATGAAATATTGATTTATAAAGATTGGATTACGATAATTAAATTTTCTGCGCTTTCAATGTTTGATTATATTATCATTGATTAAAGATAGGATAGACTGGATATGAAATGGAACTTCATGTACAGAGTCTGAAATACCGACCAGGAAAAAATCAATGGTTTTTTTAGATCAGACCTCGTCTGTGGCTCAAGCATAGAGTGCGCTAAAAAATTATTGATTTTGTTTCTCTTAGTCGGTATTTCAGACTTTGAGACACAAAGTTCTATTTCATGTCCGGTCTATTCTGTCTTTAGTCAATGATATTATGTTTAAGTCACGTGATTTATGAATTTAATAACACTTGTTGCATTTTCAAGTAATCTTACAATTAGTAAAACAAAAGATATGAGAATAAGAATAGTTCATTTATAATTTTGTGTCTTTTAAGTAATAAAAGTTGTGAAGTATTAACCTAAACAATAGTAAAAGTTTTTGACAGTTCTATAATATGATTTTTAATTAATGTTACAGCTTTGATAATTTTTCTAATGGAGATACTTATAATGTATAACAAAATTTAATTTTGACAATGAATTTAATTCTCGTTTCGAATCAAACGGTATGGTTTAATGAAACTATAATTTTTCAGACGTCAAATAACCTTTAAATATCATACGTGAGAAGAGGAAAAAAAAACCAAATTGACAGCAATGACGGATACTGTGTACAAATACATGAAAGTACAAAACAGACCTTATAGTATTAATGACTTAGTTTCGAATCTCCATAATGAATATGGCAAAACAGCTGTACAAAAGGCTATAGACAAATTGGTGACTGAAGGGAAGATATTTGAAAAAGTAAGATATCTATTACCTAATTATTACCTAATAGATCAATTTAGCTAAAAGATTTTTGTATCAGGTCTATGGAAAACAGAAAATTTATTGTCCAGTTCAGGATTCGTCTCACGACATAGAAGAATTAATGAGAATAGACAAAGAACTACAGGCCCACGCTAATGAGGTTGAAAGCAAGTATCAAGAGTTTGAAAGAGAAATCAAAGTACAAGAGGCTTTATTGTCATCTATGAAGTCGTCCATCACAATCGAAGAAGCAAGAAGACAGAAAATTGAACTTCAGAAGAAAATTGCACTAATGACAAATAAATTAGATGGATTAATGGAGGCAAGTGGTGCCGAGGACTTGACTGAAAGTAAAAAAAAAGCAGAGAAAGCACTAAACGAATATTCACGCGAATATGCGAAACGAAAGCGTTTGTGTACTGAAATTTTAGATTGTATACTGGATAATTATCCTGGTAGTAAAACTGAATTATACGAGGAAATAGGAATAGATCCAAAAGTTGTTCAATGATGCGTGCATTATAAATTTTTGAATGTAACAAATTGTAAATTGTATTTTATATTAGTAATTCTTTCTTTTTTCTACTATATGTGAGTTAATATTTCTATGCGTATGTAATTATTTAAATTAATTTATATTTTAAATTATTTTTTTAATTAACTGATAATTACTGTTATAAGCTAGTTTGTATGTAACTTATAAATTTATTCGTTATGATACTTTATGAATTATCAAATTATTTAATTATATTCGTAAATAGTATTGTATATTTCTACAACTCTGCTATTGTAAGCTGTGTGTTATGTTAATGAAAATTATTATTTTACTTCGTTTATATTACATTAGTATATATCATCATCATTCGATGCAGGAAGCGTGTTAAATCTCTCTATTCACTCTCTATTCACATGGAATATTTATCCTTCATTATTTCTATTCCTTTTAATGCAGATTCAAACTATATTTATCACAAAATACAATATTTACAATATTGTAATTTTTGAAGATCTTCAAAATTCATAATTTATTATAATATAATATTTATATAAAATATAACTTACAAAGTCATTTTCACAAGAACCATTAGCTGCTATTGGTATACACAATTATCATATAAACTATGCAATTGTTATGTAAAGACTTATATCACATTAATCTTCGCGGTAACATCCGCCTTGTCATTATGGCTTTTACACTATTCACGCTAAAATAAGTTACATGAATTTTAATTTTTTTAAAAAGATTTGTTAAGTTTATATTTGTAATTCTTACTTGTGACAAAATATGTTTTGCGATACACCAATAATTAAAGATATCTTTGTTCATCTGAAGTGTATATTGATTAATATGACCCATAAAAACATTACGAAATTGATTTATGTATAAATGTACTTAAGAGATAGTAGAATTGGTCGTTAAGGAATAATAGATCAATCCGAGACTGTTAAGGGATAGTGGAATAGGTTGTTAAGAGATAATAGATCAATCCAGGATTGTTACGAGGTAACAGATCTTAAGTACAATAAAGTTGTGATATATATTTCTGTAAGAAAAATCTCATAGTAAAAGCAATATTAATGAATATTAAATTGAATGTTAAATTTAAAAAAATATTAAAAGTTATTAAATATAGCAATGGAATAGAAAATGTATAGTTGTAAAATATAGTATTGGATGTTTTAAACATACTCGGAGAAGAAAATAAAATAATTTATAAAAGTTTAATTCTGTTCGATGCTTAAAATTTAATTATGCCAAATACTTTAAATACGTTTGAAAGAGAAAATGCTTGTAAATCTCTGTAATTTTATTAAGATCGAGTTGAACGATTTATTAGCAGGTACTTTGGAATAACAGAAGGGAAAGATTTTTCTACATTTTAAGGTATATAATGATCCTAAGTGTACGAAGTACGTGAGAAAACTAGTTCATCATTTTATTGACAGTTCATCATTAAATTGACAATTATACAAAAAAAAGGGACAAAAAGATTTTCTAAAATTCGTCTTTCAAATATGTACAGTTGTATCACAATATATTATCATTTCCAATTAATGAATGCCGTCTACAAGTATTAAATTATCTTTTCCCAATTATCAACGCTTAAAGATAACGATATAAAATATAAGTAGTTGAAACACATCTATACTATATCAGGCAGTCCAATAATCATTTCAGTATTTTCTTAATTCTCTCAATTCAGCGATCTAATTTGCGCAAAAGATTTGTAAGAAAAAAAAAAAAAAAATAAACCAACAAAAAGGAACGCACGGTTCGTATAATCACCATTTATTAGCCTTGTGTTACAATTCTCATGATTTTAAGGGAAGCTCGTTTTCTCGCGTCCGTAGCTAACGGAGCTAGCACATTCTTTCGTGAATATTTCTACGGTAACACAAAGATCTCTCGCGCGATGCATCGAACAAATATACGATCGAACGTTTTCATTCGTTGTCTTCACGCCTGTTGTCTGTACAAAGCTTCTGCGGTACTATCGTTAGAAAAAAAAAAAAAAAAAAAAAAGAAAAAAAACAGAAGAGAAAGAAGAAAGAGAGAAGAGAGAGAGAGAGAGAGAGAGAAGTTATATTCTGGGTAACACAGTGAGATTATGTAACTACTTAATAAAAATTGAATTGCACATTCGTTCTTCGCGTTCGGTTTTTCGACCGCCAGAGCATTTAGAGAACTTCGCAAGATGCCTGGTCTTTCAGAAATCATGCTGACCGAACGACACACGATGTGAATCACATGATTCGCCTAAAGTCCCAGTGTCTCTCCAATGGAGAATATGGTCTGCTCCATGAGCTGAACGCGTGCTGAGGTGCGCGCCACGAGCGCTTTCTCGATGTCGGATCTGCTGTGGTCTCTGGATGCGTAGCCACGTGAACTCCTTAAACGAACCGGAAGAACCGTTTCAACGCTGGCCAGATCAAGCGGTGCAGATCGTCTTTAAGGACGCGCAGCAGCGGGTTTTCATAGATTGCAAATGGCACAGCCATGTTCTCAGCCTGTCAATCAGCTCCGCGCAATCTGACCCCTCGTCCACACACTCATCGCCCTCTGGTTCTAAAAAGAAATTAAGATAAACCTAGTTTTTCTTCTACGCTGAAGCATTTTCTATTGTATTAAAGAGGAAGTGTCGATATTAAAGAGGAATTCGGAGACCTGCATTTATATTTTATTTAATGAAGTTGAAAGTAATTTCCAGAAGTTTCAAGAATTCGTGCACTCTGTGCAGCACGTCGTTAGTAAAGTAAGACAAAGAATTCATTGCTTTTTAAAACTTACGTAACACTTTAGGAAGGTGATTGATATTGTTGTTTGATTTATAATATTAACGTATAGGTAAAAGAAAGATCTGTGATCCTGAAATGAAAACTGTGAGGTAGAAATAGTTATCATAATAAATATAGTACATCTACTCAGAAACAGGAAATAGTTACTCCATAATGAACAGGAAAAGACACCAAGAATGTCGAAATATATGATACATTTAACGTAGGATTATCACAAGGTTTCATTCGTTCATTCGAAATAGCCATAGTATATATACAGAAACATTGGAGAAGGGAAACGAACAGTCGATGAACAGAAAATATTCACTGTCTCACAAGTGAATTGCCACGAGTTTATAGATACTTTGAGGAAACACTGACGATGAAAAATGCGACGTGTCAATTTGTCACTATTTTAAGTCACCTCGTAGCGGTTTTAACGGCTACGAGCTGTTCATGGACGATGATTGCAAGAAGAAAGAAATGATCGAGCAAATTAGATAAAATAGCAAAGAGGAAATGGAAAGAAACACCTGTTATATATATACAATTGCAAATATACTTAAGTTCACTGTACACAGAGAATGACAAGAGGATGAAGGAAGAAAAAAATGTCGTAGAATAAAATGAGAAGATAGGCAAGGGAAAAAATCGTCGGAACATTGTCAAATCGATATCGATAGAAAAGACAAAAGAGAAGGAGTCTTGTAATCCCAAGAAGAAGAAAATGAATACATATCGTTGGCTTTTGATACAGATTTCTCTTACCGCGGGCATCGCCCTGAAGACTGTTTTGATCCCTTTTGCCTGATGTTGCGAACCCCGTGCTCACTGTACTCTTATGCCTGAACGGGCTAATTTTCGGATAATTCAGATCGTTGATCTTTGACATCGGACTAACCGTATAGTACGAATAATTCGTATGCCTCCTGGTAGTGGTACCAGCAGCGTATCCGTTCTTACTATAACTATTATTATCGTTACTATTGTTTACTTTAGTCTTGTATTTATTGGCGTACAAATAACTGGCAGTGGTGTAGGTGTATTTGGTCGCCGGTGTGGTGGCGAACGATGTGACGCGTTTGTAAGGATTGCTCGTCGACGAGAAGAGATTCGACGACGGCGAGGAGTATTTGAATTTCGATTGTGGCGCGCTGTGTGTCGTCGATTCCCACGGATACCTGTGTGACATAGCATTACATGGGGAATTATCGATGGAATAGCCATTGCCTGGTGATCTGTTCGAGTTCGAAAGTTGAGAAAACATTTTTGCTATTCCGATCATACATTCGCCAAACACGGAGAAAAATTGTTGTTTATTAAACGAAGTTGGACTCCCTTTGAGTCTTTGCAATGCATATGATATGTAAATATTTGAAAGTGCATGACTATCACCGAAATAGTTTTACTGGTTACGATAATAATTAAATATTTCGATAATTATTTAGATATTAATCAACTACGAACAAACGAAATTATAAATTTGATATGATTATATTACGTATGTTCAGTATATTACCTGTACTCTGTGTTGTTGTATTGAGCATATAGTGGCCGATTGAGGGCTGTTGGGTTGAAATTCCCATCTCGGCGCACATACGTTGGAATGTTTTGCGTGTAATCTGGTATAATATTTTCGTGTTCGGCCACACATTTCCCGTTCAGGCAGTACTGAAATTTTCAACGAAATTACAATCGATACACTACAGTGATCTTGCGAAAAGAAAATCATATATAACAACGAGAAAATATATCTTTTTTCTAAATTCCTGAACAAATTCCAGAAATGAAAAGAATCTTTTATTATTTGATACAATCGCTTCTTCGTTCTTACTTTGATGCAGCAATTTAAATACTTTATTACTTTATTAGGCATATTTAATGAACTATTTACCTGACCGTCCCCGCAAGCAGAACCTTCCGCCGCTGGACGATACGCCACGCAATATCCTGAGCCAGCGTCAAAGCAAAATAGTTGAGCGCAAACTCTATCGTCTTTCTAAAACGTTGAACGATCGTTTTATTGACACGAGACTGGCGACATAACGGATGAAAAACGATACATGTTGGATTGACGTTGTAAATCTTACGAAACAAGCGCTCGTTCCGCGATCCTTCCGACATTGTGCGTCCAACGAAAGAAGTTTGCCAGGTAAAACTCGGGGGAGAGCTTCGTCTTCGTGAGGCGCGTTGTACAAACACGTTGCTGTATCGCCACTGGAATAGAAATGTTGAAATTTTAATCGTTCAGAAAATATTCGAAAGTAGCAACAATTGTTTAAGAACATTAAAGAAATTGATTAATAGTCTACGATTATACTTTACATTTGAAATTTTCATTTCTGTACACATTGGCTCACGAAACGTATCTGAACGTTTTGTGATCTCAGCAGAATATAATACTCTAATGTAATCTAATCTTCTAATTTTCAGATTTGTTTCAAACTTCGTCAATATAATCACGATGGCTAAGTCCCATTTTTATTATAGTTGAGACTTTGAAATTGTGTATAAACCTATATAATTCGCGCAATTTTGTAATTAATTTTTGTTTGGAAATAATGATAAATAGTAGAAATGATACCAATAATAATAATACTAATAAATGCTAATCGATGAAAAAATTTCCTAATTCCTACGTACATGATATAATCACAAAAGGTATGTGCGAGCTTTCGAGTACTTTCGTGAGCTACTATCTAAAAAAGTAATAAGGGACTGGACAATTGTGATATAGTAAGAATTAAAAATACAACCGTTAAATCAGGATTGAACGTAACTTTTGTCAGTTATCATTTGGAAATACTTGTTTCGGTGATTATATTGGCCATAAAGTATGTTTGAAATGTCTCCTGATTTGTCGCTGTGTATTTTCTTTATTTTCCCCTCCAATCTCTGTCCTTGAAATAATATAACCGAGAGGTTCATAAACCAATTGAATGAACCATTACTTCAAGAAATGGTGAAACGACGACACGCTGCAATGGGACCACTTGAAGCCTTTCTCGGTGTGTCTGAGATCACTCATAATGTAGCCATCCTCCCAACGACATTTTTCGGCCCCTGGACCTCCGAGGTAACTGGGTGGTGGCGAGCCATCGTGAACTGCACCCAGCCTATAGTATTTGCATTTCAATGTCACTTCATCCTTCATTCAAACAACGTGTTTTCAACACACAAATCAGCATTATTTTTAGAGGATACAAATTTTCAAGAATACGGCGAGGAACGGATAAAAATGGATAAAATGAATTTCATCCAATGGAAGACATTATTTAACTTTAATTACGTCTTTTATGGGATGGAATTTTTAATACATCTTTTTCGAAAAATTGAAACGATCAGAATTGCGTTGTACAATTAACAATTACGTGCCAGATGTAACGGGGACGGAATCATTAATCGTTATTGATAAAATTTTACAAATGACCAGCGTAATTATAAAACTGCAAGACAGAAGTCCAACTTATGAGTAGACTATGGATCTTTATGCGAATTCATATTGTTGAGGGTATAATTTAAAAAGTAGACTCTTGATGGAAAATTATTTCATGTACCAAATATTGTCCAAGACATATTTTAGTAATGTATAAAAACCCGCAGTCTACTTATAACTTGACAATTTATCAGTATATTATCAATTGTGCAAGAAGATACAACTGGAACAACTAAGTTTTGCAACGTAATTCTTTAAGATAATTTTAAGATAAAAATGATGAGTGGACTTACAAATGGCCAACTTCGTGAGCTGCGACGATGATTCCGCTAAATCCGCCCGTGTCTTCGATAATAGCGACCGAATTCACTTTTTCTAGGCGTTTATTCACGACGCAAGCTCCACCCACGTACGCGAATCCTGAATAAATATACACACGATCAGTTTGAAACACTTTCTATCCTTACGTATTGCAATTAAAATGTTAATGCCAGTTACTAAGTTCGTTACTCGGTTTAGACTAACGAGAAGCTGCATTTTTAGCAAGTTAGATTTGTACCAGTACATGATACGCGAACGTGTCTTTAATTTCGAGAAGTTCCATATTTCAATTTAATTTAATACAGTAACATTA